CTAGCCATGACCAAGTGATATATAAGCACCTACACATCATTTTGGTCATTACACTTAGAATTAATCTCCAACACCGCTAACATTCAAATCTTTCATTAAATCCATAAAATCCATAAACCCTTCATAAACCCTAGTAATCAAATCTCAACATCCAAGCCCGTTTAGCAAGAATTTCTTATACCAAATGATAGAGAATTGAATGTAGAACATTTCCTATTTCACAACTTAGTCCAAAATCCTTCTAAAATAGCTCAAAAATAGAAAATAATTTTTTTCACCTTGGAGGAGTTCAAGGCAGCAAGCTAATGAAGAAGAATTCTTGATTTTTCTAGCAATTTTCATGATACACATGACATTTAAACCAATTAAATTGAATCTAAAATTCAATTAATGAAATTCCCCAAAATATCATTAATGAAACTTGATATTTACCAATTGCCATTACAATGTCTCCCATTAAAATATTTCTTAGTAAAAAATGAACCAATTTGACTTCAAAATTCTACTTTGGCCATGATATTTTCAAAAATTGTATTTTAGTCACTAAAATTCCACTGTTCGATCAAATCTGAAAAATTACAATGTTATGAGCCATATTTCTCTGATCTAAAATATGGAAATAATATTTCCATCCATTTTATAACATCCTTATAATTTTCATAAAATTTTGGTTTGATATGATTATTTGATTCCAATACCGAACTTTATCGCTTTATTAACACAAATCTCGTACTGAAAATTTGATTCCCACGAAAATCATTGTTTTAGACCAAGTTGTTCATTTACGAGCTAAACAAGATATATTTTATCAAAATTACATTTTAGTACCTAAACGTTTCAAAGTTTACACTTTAGGTACCAAACTTTCAAAACTTACATTTTAGTCACTAGAAAAAATTTGGGGTATTACATGCTCACACTAATGTATTGATTTCAGGTGCAATTCCGGATTTTATTTAATATTATGGAATATATATTGTGATATACTTGTTTTAATTACAAAAACAAAAGCATAGTACATTTTACCATGAAAATAATTTATTAAGTTTTATCCTTGCATAATAATTAGGGATAAGTATGGGTCGGGTCGGGATGGGTCGAGTTTTTTTATTGACCCAAATAACCTCTCTCACCATTTGTCTCTTGATTCGATTTTAAAAAGACCCCACCCGACTCGAAATTTGTCGATTTTAAAAAGACTATATTCGACTCGAATTTTGATCTGCTATTAGATAAAACTTGCACCTAATTGATCCAACACAAATATATATATAAATTATTTTTAGGGTAAATTATGCGTTTAGTATATAAACTATCAATTTTGGTTCGTTTTAGTACGTAAACTTTCAATTTTTCAATACCATGCTTAAAATTTAGTTTTTGTTTCATTTTAATACCCTGTTCAGAATTTAACGTTTAGTTTTCCAAAAAAATTGAAAGATTAGGTACTAAAACGGGCCAAAATTGATAGTTTAGGTACTAAACGCATTAAGTTTTTAACGGAAGTGTACTAAAATGAAACAAAAACTAAATGTTAGGTATAGTTTTGAAAAAATTGAAAGTTTATGTACTAAAATAGACTAAAACTAATAGTTTAAGTACTAAATGTATAGTTTACCCTTATTTTATTAGATAAAATAGATATCTAATTGAAAAAAATAAAGAGATATATAATTGCAATTATTCTTAAATATGTAAAAGATAATTATACTATTTTCTTATGTCGGGTTGAAGATTTTTATCCTAAACTCGAACTCAATTCAACCTTAATTTTTTTTTTTAAAATAATCTTGTAAGATTAAAACGAATCGAAACTCATCAGATTCGAGTACCATGCTTATCCTTAATCATAATTGTCTACATAGCCAACACTTTTTTCTCCACTCAAAAAATTCCTGGTGCAACCTATTTGATGAAAAATTAAAAGTAAGAGTGTAGAATGAAACACACTAACTAACTAACTAACTAACTAACTAACTAACTATATATACTAACTAAAAATTCTACAGGCACGCGTCGCGTATCGTAACGTATCATTAAAGTGATGTACCGAAATGTATCATAAACAAATTTGTCTTTATAATGTAAATATTAAAAAGTATAAGGATTTATCTAAAATTAATCATTAATTAAAATTTTATTTTATTTTTAATAGAATTATAATTAAATTATGATATTTTTATTAAAAATAATAATTAATTTAAATGATTTATTTTATTTAGAATTAGGATTTGTATATTATTTAAGTTAAAATGACTATGAGTAGTAGTTATCGTCGAAGACTTTAACTCGTCGGAAAACTCGTCAGAAAATATAATATTCTAAATCCAACACTATGGTTTGTCGTCCTCGGTTCACCGTCACCCAACAACTTTTTAATATTTGCATAATAAAGACAAATTTTCTTTTAATATGTTTTGATACATCTCTTTAATGATACGTTACGGTACGCTACAAGCACGGTATACTTTACGATATACTAACTCTCTATGTAGTGCTCTCCAAGGTTTTAATTAACTATTTTTCGATATAATAAACTTTGTCTTCTTTATTTTTGAAATTTTTTCTCTAAGGTATTTCACGTAAATTTTGACATGTTCATTTTTCCCTATTGATATGATTTAGTTTGCTTGTCATTTTCTTCGGTAATTCTAAATAAACTAATTTGGAGAAGTCACCAAAATACTCATACAAAACAAAATATTAAACTTAAAATTACGAAGAAAAATAAAACATTTCATTGATAAAGATATCAAAATCAAAAACTAATAACCTTTATAAAAAAAAATTGTCTCTGTCGGATGAGACGCTTTACGAAGTGATAAAAGAGTGGTGAGCGAACTAAACAATCTGGCGGCTGCTTTGCTACACATTTCGATTATATAGGCAAACAACTTTTTATCAAAAGAGGGGATATGATTATACGTGATAATCGACAAATCAATCAGAAAATAAATTTCGTGATGATTTTTGTGTGAGCACCAAAAAAATTGCAAAGGAACGCAAAAAAAATGCCAAAAATCATAAAAATCGTGCCACGTGAGCAAAGAAAACATGTCACAAAGATAAATATTTTTATTAATGTTGGGAGGGTCGTCCTCGCCTTCGCAGTACCCGATCTGGATTAATCAGTCAATAGATCGAATAACAGTGATTAATTCAAAAAAAGACTTAAGAAAAAATTAAAAGACATAATATATAAAAAAAAAAGAGAACTAATAGTCATCGAAAGTCGACAACCAACATTAATATTGACGAGTTAAATATTTAAAGTGTAATGTCTAAATAAGTGTCTAAACTATATTTTTTTGGTTAAATAAGTGTCTATATTTTTTGTCCATACGGGTGTCTAACGTTACAAACATTAACACTTTAGATGCTCAGGCCGTCAATGACGTTAGTTTTCACTTGTTAAATTATACGTGTCATAATCTGATAAATTTAAAATTTTATATAAAATTTTAAAAAATAAAATTATATATTTTTTAAAAAGAAAAAACATAAATTTTGAAATAACTATAAACTTTGAAAACCTTCATTTCAACTCCTAAACCTACGTCGACCGCCACCCTTTGCCATCAAAGAACTTCCACCAAACCTCCCCTCCCCCTAGTGACTAAAATCCCTATGAAATTATTATCGGTTGACGATCGATTGACGAAAAATCGATGTTTTAAATCCCGTTAACCTTAGGATGAAAATAACGATCTCATGTGATTCCGATGGTGAATCAACAACAACTACAATTGCATATAACTAGGATGATGGCAAGGACTACATTGACAGCGGTGGTCATGGCTGGAGAGGACGGCGACAATAGATTAAGGTTAGGGTTTGAGTTTTTTGGGTTGTTTTTTCATAATAATATTTTTTTAAAAATAAATTTCAAAATTATCATGTTATGACACGTGTCACTTAATGAGGAAAACTAACACCGTTGACGGCCCGGACACCTAAAGTGTTAACGTTTGTAACGTTATTCACCCGGATGGGCCAAAAAATATGTAAGCACTTATTTGACACAAAAAGTATAGTTTGGGCACTTATTTGGGCATTAAGCCAATATTTAATTATTAATAAGATGTTGACATGTATCATTAAAGATAATTTTTTATAGAAGTAATTAATTTTATTTAAAATAGGAAATATTCCAAATTACAATAAATATTTACAATCACAATCGTAATTTAAGCACATAATTAAGAAAAATAATCATAAATTAAACATATAATTAAGAAAATTTCCTATAATCATTGAACAAAAACTAACAATTTAATATCATATAAGGACCATACAAGGAAATATTAAATCTAACCAAGAAATTCAAACAAATATAGACACAAACAGATCTGATCGTATCAACAAACGAACTACAAAAGGGGATCAAGATATTGAAAGACCACTGACAAATTGCAAATCAAACTCAAGCGACATGAAAAGCTACCCACGAATGTAAATTGAGTATCCAAATCTAATATGAGGGTCCCAAGCAGGAAAGATCAACAAGATATCAGATAAGCGTCATCTTGATCAGTCGTGACGATGTCAAATCAACCCTTAGAAAAAGGACAAATGAAAAATGACCAAATAAGAAGAGCTGAAAAACATGCTAAAAAACATAAAAAAATACAATAAATGCAGATGAAAACGTGCAACACATGTAAACTTATTGAAAATAAAAAAACAAAAGAAAATAAATATATATTATAGAGAAGAAAATGACAATAAAGAATACTGATGGTCGACAACTAATATTGAAGTTGGTTTCGCTGCAAATTAACAAAGACGAAAAAAAAAAGAGATGATCGTCAAAGAAATTAGAGAAAATTAGGTTATCATTAATGATAAAATTAATGTTAGATTAATGGAAAAGTTTTAATTGGATGATAGTTTTAATTTGAGGATTAATATAGAATGTTTTAAACTTTAGTGACCAATTGATGAAATAGTTTGAGGGTCTTCTGCGTAATTAACTTTATTCATGTATGAAGCTCTGCATCTCGATGTCCCTAGCTAATAGGAAGGATCTTGAAGGCAAGAAAAATAAACGAAGAAAGAAAGCTCTCTCTCGCTGTGAATCAAATCGAATTGAAGATGCTGAGGGCAGCAACGAGGAGGCTCGCCTCTTGTCCGTCTGCGTGGAGGCTTCAACAGGCCACCTCCGCAGTCGCCGCTCGTCCTTTCACCGGCGGCGCCGATTCTTCTGATGGTCTCAGATACACCTCCCCCTTCTCTCTCGCTTCTCACTTCCATCTTCCCACTAGAGGTTAGGGATTGCTTTTGCCTACTCATCAATTTTAGTTCCCTTTGGTTTAAATTTTTTGTCTTTCTATGGCGGTTCATAACAAATTCTATTATTGGTTAGGTTTTTGTTAAGTTACCGACATACACTATTAATATTCGAATTATTATTGATGAAATTTAAGACTAGTACACGTTTCATCTTGCATTAGTTTGATTTTTTATTTCTTACTTTTGTTTATGTTATTGATTTGGATATGTGAAAAATCAATCGAACTTACTTACATCTCTTATGGAGTTTTGGAAAACGCTCAAATTAGTTAAAATATGGTACGATTTGATCAAAATGTGGTCTTAAAGGTTACAGATTTAGTTAGATACCCATTTTCTAAGGTGAAAAAGGAATTTGATGCTTGGGGTAAGGCTCCTATCTGACCAACAGAAAAAAGATTGAAAAGTGTCTCTCAATCCTCATTTCCTTCTTCTCTCCAGAGCTTAGGATTTCAATTTTCCTATCAATTTTCTCTTCCTTCCAGTTTTCCAACCTTCTAAGGCAGTCATAACAAATACTATAATCGGTTAGGTTTTCGTTTTGATACCATATTCATATTCGCATTCTAACTGATGAACTTGTTAGACTAGTACCTGCTTTATTTGCATCGCTTTGAATCTTTGTTTCTTACTTTTGTTTATGTTATTGATTTGGATATGTGAATAATCAAAGTTACTTGCATCTTTTATAGAATTTAGTATATAGTACATTTGGATCAAAATATGGTCTTAAATGTTGCAGATTTTGCTAATTAGGACACCCTTTTCTTAAGGTGAAAAGGGAATTTGATTTTTTGGGAAACGTGCTTATGTTACACAAAAAAGGAGATTGAAAGATGTCTTCCTGTACTCATTTAGGGTTTCCTTCTGCCTATCTAATTCTCAATCAAAGCTTAGGGTTTCCTTTTGCCTATCAATTTATCCACTTTGTTTCAGTTTTTGATCCTTCTATGGTGGTCATAACAAATACTATTCAATTAGGTTTTCATTATAATACCATAATCATTTTCAAATTCTAATTGATGAACTTCAAGACTTTATTTTGCACCATTTTGACTAGTGTTTCTTACTTCTGTTTATCATATTGATTTGGTTGCGTGAATAATCAAAGCTACTTGCATCTCTTATAGAATTTAGCAAAACTCTCAAATTAGTTAAAAGGCAAAAGGGTAACTTTTGCTACTGTAGTAGACCCAATTTATCACTTTCGCCCCTATCGTATTTTCGCATCAAATTAGCCTTTGAAGTTGCTCAATTGCATCATTCTATAACCCTACCCCTAACTTAAAAGTCTAAATTATAATCCCTAAACCATAACCCTATTACCTCTAAACACTAACTTAGGGTTTTAAGTTGAGGAAAGGGTATAGAATGATGAAATTAAATAGCTTTGAGGGCTAAATTGATGTGAAAATACGATAGGGGCGAAAATGATAAATTTGGTCTACTATAGAGGCATAGGTAACCCTTAAGCCTAGTTAAAATGTAGTACACTTGGATCAGAATATGGTCTTAAAGGTTATAGATTTAGTTAATTAGACACCCTGTTTTTTAAGATGAAAAAAATGATGTTGGGCTTGGGGAAAGGCACCTGTGGCAAAAACAAAAGGATATCTGAAGGTGTCTTTGGTGATCTAATTTGGTAGCTATGGTTTGTCCACTTTCTTCTACTGCATATGATCTTCATTAAGAGTGAGTATACTCAATCGGCTTAACATGCCTTTGGGCAACGGAGTATTCATCAGCTGTAGTGTTCTTTAGAAGTTATGCGAGAGAGACCTCTCTTAGAGCATTGTTCCAATGTACTAGAATAATGTTTGATTTCAGTGGCGAGCTTTTCTTATTTTGTTTGAAATCATAAAAATACTTTCTGAAACTGGTTCTAATCATATCTTATGAATGGGTATTGAAAGTGAAACCACTTTTTTCCCTTTTGAGAACCAATATTTACACAGCCTTGCAATGGAGGCTCGATTCTAGGGTTTTTTGACTCAAATAGTGGTTGTACTTGTATGGAACAATCCTTTACATTTCCAATTCAACAGCCATGAAATGATATTTGCTATACAATATTCTTCCTATCCTCAAAATTGAATACTGGAATGCTGAAAAGGTTTTTTTTTGTCTTCTTATTTTGTGCTTATTCCCTAAAGATATGACTTGTAATGTTTTCTTTAGGTTTTGCTTCCGAGCCCCTCACCCCAAGAAGCGAAAGCAGTGTAATTCCTGATGTTCCACCAACAATGGCAGCTATTAAGAACCCCAGTTCTAAAATAGTTTATGATGAATACAACCACGAACGTTTTCCTCCAGGTGACCCTAGCAAGCGGGCATTTGCCTACTTTGTCCTGACAGGTGGTAGGTTTGTGTATGCATCTCTTATCCGCCTGCTTATCCTCAAGTTTGTACTGAGCATGTCAGCTAGTAAGGATGTTCTTGCAATGGCTTCTCTTGAGGTTGATCTCTCCAGCATCGAACCTGGCAGTACTGTAACTGTTAAGTGGCGTGGAAAGCCGGTCTTCATCAGACGTCGAACTGAGGAGGATATCAAGGTGGCAAACAGTGTTGATGTAGGATCTCTTCGTGATCCACAAGAGGATGCAGCAAGGGTTAAGAATCCAGAATGGTTAATTGTTGTCGGGGTCTGCACACACCTGGGTTGCATTCCCTTGCCGAATGCTGGTGATTATGGTGGATGGTTCTGCCCTTGCCATGGTTCCCATTATGATGTCTCTGGCAGGATTCGCAAGGGTCCAGCACCCTACAACCTGGAAGTGCCCACCTACAGTTTCTTGGAGGAGAACAAGTTGCTGATCGGTTGATAATAGCATTATATGTTCTCTTTGAGATCTCAACAAGGATTTTTAATTTTATTAGATAATGCCGAAGGTTTGTTGCAGATTTTTGCTTCTGCTGCCCTGGACTTTCAGGGCAGTGTTAGTGTCGGTTTTGTAACTGGGATAATCGCAACTGCCGCCAGTTGATATTTCTCTTAACTTTGAATAATTTTCCCGGATTTTCCGGAGAATCGAATATCGATACTCTTTGGACTTTGATTATTCACTATAAAAAGGATGTTGTTATATGTATATATAATTATTTTGATTTCTCAGTGTGAAAACATGGTGCTCTATGTTGAACATTTCCAGCACTAACGTTTGCAGTAGACAACAGAAAACAAAATTTGCAGGGCAGAAAACACAGATGACAAAATCTATTCCCATAGGCCTGTATATATGGCTAATAGCCTAAAACATACATATAGGCAGAAATGCATATCTATTGTCATCTCTCGAATAAGCCCTTCACATAGACCATGCCTTTTTCACTAAGCTTTAGTTCTTTTCTCATTTGATCTACTTGCTGATCGTCTCCTTGAACAACAACCTCGGACACTGTCCCGTCGTCAGCAACCAGCATCTTCACTTTGATCTGCTCATTCCTCGATGCCCTCTTCCAGTAATAAGCTCCTCTACATTCATTCCATCCATGATAAGATAGTAGTATTACCTTCAGACCACAATTCCAACAATAACAACAAAAACTGTAGGGTGAGCATTTGTGCTTACGCCAATGGACTTAGAACAGTGATCCAGAACCAGTTATTCCCCACATCTGGAAATGTGATGGTGAGCACAAGGGCAACACTTGCAAGGCTGATGCAGGTGCAGAATGTCAACAATGCTGCTTGTCCTCTGCTCGGAACCATCATTCCCTCGAACCTTTAAAAATCAAAACCTTTGATTGTTTCATAAAAAAAGGTCTTTCTTTTATCCAAAAAGAGGATGAATCAGTAACTGGTGAAGCTTACGTGATAGTCTCTCCCCTATCGGTGACCACGAAATTGCTGCGAGTGAAGAAAGATAAGATCTCAGCAGCCACTTGATTTGGTGCCTTCTCCTCAGCTCCTTCCCCTACGAATGTCTTTTGCACTATCTGAAACCAGTAACTGCTCAACAAAAAACTCAAGCAATGAACAAAACAGAAACTTGTGCCAAATGAAGATACCTTCGATTTCACAGAGCGTTTGATGAGGGACCAGAGTCCAGGAACAGAGATGACAAAGAGACCAAGTGAAGTGTAGTAGCTAGACAAGGAGTAGCCCGCGGTGTCCGCAAGAAAAAACATGGAATCTGGGTTTTGCAGGTCATGTTGAAGGTTGTCCGTAAGAGCAGAAGATGAGACGATGGTTTGGTGCAAGGAGAGTCGAGCAGCCACACGGTATCCGTGGGGAGGGGTTGAAACTCGTGGCGGCCATGGGTGGTGAAGGTGGTGGCTGGTTCTGAATTTGGAAGGGAAGGGGAAAGAGTAGAGAGGCTGTGGAAGTGGGGATAGTGTCTTTGTTGCCATTATCTTCCCAGGAACACACAGGGATTATCAGCCACTTGGGTTTAACCAGATTTTTTTTTTTTTGCCCAGCCTTACTAATGTGATGGTCACAAGCTTGAACGGCCCAGATTTAACAACTCTTTCCTCCATCAAACCATAAGAAATAGGGTAAACTCGTATTTAGTCACCAACTATTCTCATGATTCTGTTTTGGTCAGATACTATTTTTTCTTTAAAATCATACATAAAATTACATTTTTATTTTATTCTGGACACCATATTATAAAAATAGAACTAATAACGTGATATTTTTTTTTATCTTTTTAAGGATGATATGTCATTATCTTATAGTGATACGTCAACATCGTCATCACTTTTTAAACGAGGGTGACCAAAAGGAATAAAAACATAATTTTAGGTATTATTTAAAAAATCAGTTGAATGACTAAAGTAAAGCTCAAGAATAGTTTGATGACTAAATAAAAAGTTTATCCTAATCTATTAAAGCTTAATGCAAAAAAATGTCCAAACTATACTAAAAATTAACCTTTTGTATTTAAAAAAATTTTCGAAAAAAAATGGGTGTTCAATGTTTTCTTCGTTATTTTTTTAGATGTTTACCGTCAAAAAAACATTAACATGTTCAGATTTTTTTAAATAATATTTTATTTTTTAAAAAAAAATTAAAAATTAAACGTGACAATTAATGATTTTTACTCTAAATATCTAAAAACGTAACGGAAAACCATCCACAATTTTTTTAACGAATTTTTTTTAAATATCAAAAATTACTTTTAAATATAATTTGTACATATATTTTTGCATTAATCCATATGTTAAGAAACGTTTACTTTTAGAAGCAAACGGGATCCGATGATTTATTTTGTTATTTACCATCAACCCCCTCCCCTTTTGCGAGGCTAAATAGCCGATCCATAATTATTGATCAACTACATAAGTATATATATGAACATTTATATTTTTATTAGATAGAGATTAATTATATTTTTAAATTTAATATCAAAACTTGAATTAATATAAGTTTGAATAATATGAATATCTTTATCATTCGATCAATTAATATATCTCATATTAACATTTTTCTCAATATTTTATCTTTTTATTACGCTAAAATAATTATAAAATAGTATATATTCTAAATACTATCAACTATTTGATAATAAACGTTTAATCAACTTTGCTCGAACCCGTGATCTCTGATAATAATAATTTCTTTAACCACTAAAGTAAGTTGATTCATATTTCAATGTTATATATTTAAAGTAAACTAAACTTTATTTTAATTAATATTATTATTAAATAAAAAAGTATTTATATCAAATTAAATCAAAATCAGATTTTGTATGTCATAATTTTAGGTCATATGAAAAAATATCAAATCGAATGGACTCTGGAGAGAGGGCAAAAGCCGAGCCCCATAAGCGAGAATGAACGATTCAGTGGCTTCACATAACGGTTCCGGAAAACCGTACCCGTCCCCACCCCTCTCTCTCTCCCCATTGTAATTCCATTCCACCCTTCTCTCTATCTCTTTCTCTACTCTTGGTGTGTGTTTCTCTTAGTTTTATTGGATAACTTGACCCAAACCCTTCTCTTTTTCCACTCTCTCGTCGTCCCTTCCAATACCGATTAACTCAGCCCTTTCCTCCCTTTTTTTTTCAATCCACTGCTCCTCCTTGCATCAAGGTACCTTTTTTTGCTTATTTGAAAAGAAATATTTTATGGGTTCTTTGTCTTTTCTGGGATTGGTTTTTTCCTTTTAAAAGGGGTTCCTTTATTTCGATATATCTTGAAGTCTGCTGTTTTTGTTTGTTTTTTTCTTATGGATTTTCAATGCTTCTCTGTTGTTTGTGTGTTTTCGTCTGTTTCTGATTCGTGGCTAATTTTTTGTTGGATGATTGTTGCTTTATTTTAATTTTGAAGTGTATTTGTTTCAATTATAAAGAGGTTTTTTTCCCGCCTGTGTTGGATTATTGCAGCTTTTTGTTATTTTTGTTGTGGGTAGAGTTTCTATGAGCTGCTTACTGAATGTTGTGTTAAATCCAATTACAAATATTGAGCTCAGTAAATATACTTGGTGTAAATGGAGTTATATTCCAACTTTGTTATATTTGTTGCCGTACTTCATATGGCTTCGGCTTATGTTTCGATTAGCATGACACAGAGAAAAAAAATAGAATCAGTTTGTTTATTTTAGTTAATTCGCAAGAAACGTGTTATATTCTTCTATTTGATTTGATGTGCCTCCAGCTATGATTGTGAAGCTCCTTTCATGGCATGCTATATATTGGTCGAAACAACCGGTTCCCTTATTTCCCGAAGCCGAAACCAAATTTGATTTGTTTCTGATAAAATTTAGATTAGGGTGTGAATTATTTTTAGAGTGGCGTAGTGGTTGTTTTCTAATTTTTTTACATAAATTTTATTAAAGTAATTTTTTTTTAAAAATGTGTTGGCAGCTCACCTTAGTGGCTCTGCCCATGTGTATATATGCATTTAAACGCGGGGAATATGTTGTGCTTTGCCTAGGTAAAAAGTCTTATGATTTGTTCTTAGTCAAAGGTTATTGTTTTTTTTAATGGTTCATTGATTTTTCTCGGCGGCATACAATTTGATACTGGTTTTTTGCTTGCACATACAGGAAAATGTTGGCTGCCGATTGTTTTGACATCTGATATAAATGGCAGCTGATCAACAGAGAAAGCGGCTGCATGGTGCTAGCATTGCTGGCTGCAATTCTTTGGACCGATGCAAAACCAAAAAGAAAAGGCTAAAGCTAGAGCTAGAGCCTTCCAGAAATGATTTGAACACAAAATGTTGTATTTCCCTTGAGTGGGATGGGAACCAAAAGAAAGTAGTTGCCAAAAGGGAACAAATTGGCTTAAGTCGGAGGCATTTAAGGCCATTTACTGAGTCCACAACACATTGTCATAGAGTCTTGGCAGATGTTTTGACTCTTTGTCCTGAAATTTTTGAATTAGAGGACTTGACAAAGGTGCTTTCTTATGAGGTAATATTCTTTCTATTCTTAATCACTATTACTTCTAATCTCCTCTGTATGTTAATCTAATGCCTTTTGGGATTTTACATTGAATTGTTACAGGTTTGGCAGACTCATCTGTCTGAAAATGAGAGAAATTTTCTGATGCAGTTTCTTCCCAATGGGATAGACGAAGAGCAGGTTCTGCAAGCATTATTTTCTGGAGATAACTTTCACTTTGGAAACCATTTTCTTAAATGGCAAGTATATATTTACTTTTGACACTTTTCTCACCTTGCGGATAATGCATCCATTCTTCTTGTAGTTTCCATTAACCACCCATTGGCAAATATGTTTACCCATTAAACAACACTTTAATTTTTCAACTTTACTTGTTTTTTATTTATAAAGAAGTTAATAGTTCTTGGGTTATTTTCTATTTTGTTTCTCTGTTTCTATTTGCAAGAGATATAATATTTGAGGACTATATTGTAGGCTTTGAATCTGCTAGATTTGACTGGAGTTTATGCTTTACAGGGGTACATCACTTTGTTCGGGTCATCTTCACCCTGATACAGTTATTCAGGAGGAACAACGTTTAAAGGCTGAGAAGAAATCATACTACTCAGAGTTACAGGAATACCACAATGAGTATGTGAAAAGTAACAAAATTTACCCATGCATATAATCTGTTCTTCAAAAATGTGCATTTGGTGCCTAATGATATGGTCACGACATTTTTTTCATTGTTGCAGTATGATAGAGTATTTGCAGAAATTGAAGGAGAAATGTGAAAACTGCAAAGACCCAGAAAAGGAAATTGTGCAGAAGTTCTGGAGGTTTGTATTTATTACACGCTCAGTTTTCTGGAAAGTGACCAGTTTTAGCAGAGCAAGGTTCTTCCCTGTGAAATTGGTGCTAGCGGAAAACACATAATTGGCAAGGATGTCCCATAATTTGTTTACTAGCTTCACTTCATAACATCATAACACGGAATACAATAGCATTGGTTCCCTATTTGAGCTTTACCCTTGTCATTGGTTGTTCAAAACAAAATTGAAGAACTGAACCTTTTTTATTCAGTTTTTACTGAATATTTAGTTTCTTTTTTGTGGTAAGATGACGTCTTATTTTGGGGTTACAATCAATTTCTTTGGTAGGTCAAAAAGAGTTGGCAAGAGAAGGGTTTTCTCTCATTCAAATGAGCCTGGGCTTGGTAATGTTGAGCAGGATGTTATTGCGACTTCTGAATCTTGTTCTTGGGTTGCAGATGAGAAAGAATGCAGTAGTGATAACCAGAATTCTTCTTTTGTGAAGGATGGAAAGATGCGAAGAAGGTAATGCCTTTTTTCCGTTGTAAGCCACCATGTTGCTAGTATTATCATTTTGCACGACTTGTTCAAATTAACAAGAACGAGAGTTTGGATATGGCATTCTTAAAGGACTTGAGATTGATTTATTTAGACGTATGCGATATTTTTGGATTCTAAGTTAAGAATTTGTAGCTTGTTTATTCTCCTATAAAGTTGTTTTCATCAATGGCCTTTTTTGTAGTGCATAGCTTTTGCTCATTATTACTTATCTGTAAATTGTGTAGCTACGAAAGGAAAAACTCTATGCTTTGAAGCTAACGAGGTTTGAACTATATATATTCTATGCAAGAACTTTTACACACCATGCTGGTTATGTTTGTGGCAAATTACATTGCAGATGTCCATGTTGAAGTTTCTCCACTTGTAATGCTATTTTCAGCTCTTAGGATGATTATGTGCTTTATTCTTACCGTTAGTTGTGGGTTCTAGGTGATTTTCAATCTTGCCATATTTGTTGAACAAGAAATTATGAGTCATGACTGTTTAAGGAACTTTTGCAGAATTTAGGTCTCCTGGTGGGAATTTGTTGTGGTGGCCGCACTAGTTTCTTTTAGTTTTACTCTTGTTTATTTTTATTTCATGGTGAATGAATCTTATTAGTTGTCATGGATATTAGTATGTGTGAGAAAGGGATGATCAAGAATAAAGATCAAATGCTCTCGAATGCTCCTAATTATGCACTGACTGCGGAAGCAAGACCCAAAAAAAGTGACAAGATACGCAAACGCAATATTCAGCAGTCTGATGGTGCTAAATATATGTCATGTTTTAAGGTCAGTTGCTGCTTTAATTGGTTTAAAATTATAAATTCCTGGACTATGTTGAGAAGGTGCCTTTATCTTTGACTAAATGTCTCCTTGAATTAGAATTATCCTTTCTGATATATGATTAATTATTATTTAAATTTTGGATTGGCTGACTGAAGTATGCAAGTAAGCTTCCTTTTATCCGCTTTCATGAGCTGAACCGGTAACCAGATTCTTAAAATTTTTTTCCTACTAAGATATGATTTTGCCACTGCTTGATTATCTTGTCACTTTACAACCTTTATATTAAAGTAAACTCCCGGTTATCGCCATTATACCATGAGGCAGGAATAATGACTATAGCATACATTTGATTCTTGTATCATGTCCTCCTGTTATATTCTTTACCAAGTATTTCTTCAGTGTCTTACTGTTCAGCCTTCTCTCTTGTGCTTTCTAAGATAATTAAGGGGTTATTTTTCTTTCTATAAAAAAAAGGGGTTATTTTTCTTTGAAATGTTTCAGATAAGCAAGAAGCAGCATGATCTTTTGAAGAATATGAATCAGTCTGGTAGAAGTATTCAATCCAAGTCTCTCACCCGTGTTTTAGGTGACATCAATACCTTACATGTGCAACCGTATGAAGTATTCTTAGAAGAAGAACAGAGGAGGTTGCATGAACATTGGTGAGTGCTGAAACGAACAATTCTTTATCGAAACTATTAGAATTTTCATTATACCCATGCTCAAACTAATGTTGTTTAAATAGGTTGAAACTGGTAAAGGAAGATCTCCCTGTGTTATATGCAACCCGGAGAGAAATACAGTCGCAGAAATGGAAAATAACCAAGTTGTTGGAGCAGGAGATAAAAGAAAAGCTAAATTCGCTGCTGGAGGTTTATTTCTCTTCTTTAACTCTCTCCCGTCTATATGTCTCGTCTCGGTTGCTAGCAGCTTTGAACATTTTCTATGCTACTATAATTTTGATATTTTTTTGGTGTGCTAGGATGAGGAGGATGAAGACGAAGATACATTAAAGCTTCAGGATCAGGAAGAAAATGTTGATACAAACTCGGTTGCTCTTGATGTAGAGGAAGAGGATCCTGAGAAGTCGCTTGAAGATGAGAAGGATACCGAAGCCACGGAAAGTGAGTCCAGCATGGAAGATGTGGGGTCTGTTCTGGCCTTACCACCAAATCAATCCCCACAGAGGATTTCTTCTATTGATAGTGGCCAACTGTGCAATCACATGGAGGAGTCTGAAAACAATGATAATATCGCAAAATCAGATGTTGCATCTTCAGATGTATCTGAACACTCAGACAATTTGAACACTGTTGATGCAACCGTTGGTCAGGAAACTCCCGTTTCTTCTGCAGAAATTGTCTGGCCAGTAGATAGCATTCCACGCTCTTACCATGACTGCACTGCTGACCATAAATACACGTCTACCAGTGGATTGCCGTTCATTCATCAAGACACCAAAGACCTACAGAACCATATGATTGCCCTGGAATCAGACTTGCATAAAGAGAGTACCAGTAAGGCTTTGTTGCATAGACATTCTGAGGATGGTCTCTTTAATTCTTATACAAATCAGGATCGAAATGAGCTGCTTCAATCTTTCTTCAAGGATCAGGGAGTATCGTCATATCATAGTGAGCAGAAACAGGCAGGGCCTAATTTCCAGCCCCCAAAGAATCCGTTGATGGAAGAAGATGGTCATTTTAATGGGCAATTTCAAGAGCAGTTGCAATCATCTCTGCTGTTAGAAGAGAAACAAAAGAGGCAGAATGAAGCTTATATGCAACAAAACACGCCACAAAATATTTACTCTGATGGGGGCAGATACATGACTCCAATGCAAGAACACCTGCCTTCAGGAAATATGCAGGATTGGGCTGTCCCTCCTGCCCGTATGCACACGCCTTTCCAACATCAGTTGAATAGTAGAGATTTATTGAGTCAAAGCTGGTTTACCGGAGAGCATCAAGTTCAAGTTCGCGGTGAATGGGCTGGTTCAGATGGTTTTAGTGGCCAAAGTCAGAGTATGTTGAGTGCAAGCAATGCAGATCAGAGCCTATTTAGTGTTTTATCACACTGTAACCAATTTCATTCGAGCATCCCTTATGAATCAATGGGCTCTACTGAGCAGTTCATCCCACAGAGGAACAATGGAATGATGAGGGGGGTAACTCCTGGAATAATTGGAAATGGTATGCAGCAAGCTGTTCATCCATTTGATTATTTAGGTACTCGTGATACAACTACTCCACTGATGGCTGCTGATGATCCAGGATGGATGAACTTACCACATCCGAATTCTGCTTTGCATGATCCAATGGGAAAGCCATATTTAAGGTCTTGGAATCACTGAAGAGGTCTTTTTTTAATTTGCTTCTGATGAGCGGAAAGCCTAAAGTTTATTGGTTACGAGCTGCTAGGATAATTTGGAGGTCAGCTGAATGAATATCTCATTCGATGGGAGGTTCGTTTTTATAATTATATATAGAGGAATGGTAGAAGAGACTTGTAGGTTACAAGACTATGAGATAGAATTCTGTACATACACCTATACTATACAAAGAGCCAACTGAACTCATTTGGGAAGGCTTCATATCACATTTTGGGACCCTTTTTTCTTTTTCCATATTACACTTTTGATCTTTTTGACTAACCGATAATGTTGGAGGCTCTAATTGCAAATGCTTCTCTCTATGTGAGTTGAATAATGTGTTTTTATGATGATGTGGATTTAGACTTTCAACAGTTAAATGTTGAATATTTGGTATTTATAGCTTTAGAACTTTGCCATGGACCTGATGTAGCGCCAGCAAATACAATTATAGTAATGCCACAAGGAATTTGCATTAAAATATGTACAATAAAGAGTTGATCAATCAACCAATCATCTCTGTGCTTTGTATCAAATTTCTAGTGACAATCAAAGTCGATAGTTTTTTTTTCTATTTGTGCTCCTGCAATGTCGATTTCATGTTTTCGTGTGTGTGCTATGGCGATCGCTACCTCTCGAGAGCAGTCTGCAAACCATTTCTGCAAAAAGCAGATAAACATATCAATCCATGAAAGCTTTTTACTCCCAAAATGGAAGATCTTTTACTTTTCTTAACACAAGTAAAAAGAAACAGTATCTGTATAACGGACGTGTTATGTAAAACGAAATAGATACTTTCTCATTTCCCTTCCTAAAAATGTGTTTCATCATTTAAAACTCAATTCTTGGCAGTTGGCATGCCATAATACTGTAAATAGATATAAAATTTGCATTAACAAGAATTGGGATTTTGCATTACCTCATTCCAACATGCGGAAGTTGAAGAATTTGTGGACAAAAACTTCTGTGTTTCCTGTCGGCATTGTACGACAGCTTCTCTTTTTTCAGGTTTTCAACTGCTTCAATTTTTCAAGAACTTGCTTCATCGATGGCCTAACCGAAAGTGTCTCGGCTGTCGAGGCGTATGCAAGCCGTAGCATCCCCAAGAGATTCTCCCTAGGTCCAGTTTCCCACAGTTCAGCAGAGAAAACCGCTGAAGGACGGCCCTCCTTGATCAGCATCCTAGTCCATTCAACAATGTTGAATCCATTACCGTAATCGGAAAATGATGGATCGAGGGACTTCTTCCCTGACAGCAATTCTAATATTACGACACCAAAACTGTACACATCTGCTTTGTCGGACACCCTGCATGTGGTTGCATATTCTGGTGCTACATAACCGAATGTGCCTGCAACATCTGTGGTGGCATGGGTCTCGGAAACTTCTAAAAGCCTAGCTAACCCAAAGTCTGAAAGGAAGGCATCAAGATTCTCATCAAGCAGAATGTTGCTAGGCTTGATGTCTCGATGAACTATCCGGGGTGCACATGAATAATGGAGATAAGCAAGAGCCTGAGCTATGCCCATGGTTATCTTGTAGATAACTGGCCACCGTTCATTTTCACCGGATTTGTCATGAATGAAAGTCTCAAGATTTCCACCAGAAAGATAATTGTAAATTAGAAACATTTCATTTTCCCCAGCATAATATCCCATTAGAGTTACAAGGTTCTTATGTCGAATTCTTCCCAGTGTTCTTATCTCTGCATCAAATTGCTGGATACCATGAAACCGACCGATATAAAGCCTCTTTACGGCTACATGATAGCCATGGACCAACTCCGCTTTGTAGGTTGAACCGAATCCACCCGTGCCGATAAGGTTTCGGAGGCTAAAGTTACCGGTAGCTCTAACTACAGTATCATAATTCAGCTCTTTAGGAGCATCTGCAAAAGTCACAACCACTTTTCCCTTCAGTGTACCAAGTCTTCTAACCTTTTTTCTTCTGAGTCGACAGATGATTACAGCCACCACAACCAAACAAAGCAGAACAAAAGCCGAAGTTACAGCTGCAATAATGATGGGTTCCATGATCCTCCCTTTTTTATGTGTAGGTGGATAGCTAGGCCCCTCCGAGGACAGCGCAGAAAACGGACACTTGTCGTACAAACGTTCATTTCCTCTATAGGCACTGCAATTAGTCTGATGTTGGAGACTTGGTATCGGACCAGAAAGATCGTTAAACGAAAAGTCCAAAACAGTCAGATGAGAAAGCAAAGAGAAAGATGAGGGTATTTCCCCGTAAAGCCTGTTGTGGCCTAGTAGAAGTGTTTCAAGATTCGAAGCATTTGCTAGGCTAGCAGGGATAGATCCTGTAAGAGCATTGTGGGAAAGATCGAGAACCTTAAGCAACGCCAATTGACCAAGTTCAGGTGGAATTTCTCCACTTAAATTGTTCTCTCCAAGAGAGATCCATGTCAGGTTCTTCAACTCTTCCAATCGATTCGGTAGAGATCCAGAGAGTCTATTTCCTCTAAAGTCAAGCCGTTCAAGTATGGTCAAGTTGCCTATACCAGGATCTAAGGATCCCTCAATCTGATTATATGCCGCTTCAAACGCTATAAGCCGTAGACAATCAAGGAAAAAGGTCATCCCCATCCCACCTACTATCTTGTTTTCACTCAGGTTAACTGAGACACTTTGCAGCTTACCACAATCAGATATTAGCTCCCGACGAGACAAACCATCAAACATGTTATTATTCAGTAGCAAACTGTATGAAAATGTACTGTTGCTTTCCAGTAACTGATCTGCTATGAAGAACACTGGTACGGAACCGGTGAAACTATTCCAACTAAGGTCATGGACTATTGCAAAACTCTCATCTATCATCAACCCCATCTTGTAACCCTGAAAAGGAAGATTAGCATATGTGAATTCGACCCATGTATTGTCCATATCATCGGAATTAGAACCAAGTCCATAAGAGATCACGGTCCCGTCGCAGATGCCATTCCTGTTGTAAGCTTGAATGTTACCAGAAATTCTGTTTCTACTAATGTTGAAGTATGTCATACAAGGAACATGTAGCTGCCATGGAAGGTATCCGGACAAATTATTCGAACTCAAATCCAAGAAAGTAAGGTTCTCGCACATCACAATGTTTTCAGGTATCACACCATCAAAATAATTCTGCCCCAAATTTAAGACCCTGAGTGAGCAAACCTCACTCCATCGAGCAGGCAACTGGCCGCGAAGATTGGCTCTCGGCGCCCACAAAACCTGCAAATTAGAATGAAAAAACAGTTCAACCGGAACACCGAGATCGAACGCATTGAATTCTCCTCGAAAACTATTCATGGAGCTTGATTTCTCATCAGAACCAAAATCCATCAAATTGGTTAACACAAGAGCTGATAGTTTCTTACAATTTGCCATCTCATTTGGGATCACATCAGTAAGACTGTTCATAGAAACATCTAAAACTCGAAGCTCGGAAATTCGGCCTAATTCGGCCGGAATCTTGCCTTGTAAAAGGTTGTAATCAAGCAACAAAGTCCTCAAATTATTGCAATTGCCAATCTCAGGGGGAATATTATCACTAAGAAAGTTATTAGACAGCCTCAAGTGAGTCAAAAACTCACATCCACTAGAATTATCAACACTAATCCTACCAGAAAGTAGATTATTAGACAAGTCAATCACTTTCAAGCCACTAGTACCGATGAACTTATCTGGTATATAACCGGAAAACGAGTTGAAGGACAAGTTGAGCACTGTAAGAGAAGGAAGAGAGCTTATCTGAACCGGAATCTGGCCGGAAAAATTGTTGGCTTGGAGCTGGAGAACCTCCAAAAACTTAAGGTCTCCAATAACGGCGGGGATCTCACCGGAAAACCCACTTTGAGGAAGCGACAAAGACGTGACTTTATCAGAAAAGTTAGCACATTTAACACCGTACCAAGAGCAGTGAGACGAAGATGAGTTCCAAGAGGACAAAATGTTTAAAGGGTCGTCAAAGATGGAGTTTTTGAAGCTAAGAAGAACAGTAGAATCTGGGGTGGAGTTCGAGACTTTGAAGGTGAAAGAAAAGAGAAAAAACCAGAGAAACGCCATTGTTGTTTTTGGGGCCTGCGTTTTATTACAGATTAAAACGAAACATACAAAGAAAGAAGAAGAGATTGCCGGCAAGAATTTGATGGAAACTAATGGGATGAAAGGTAAAGAACAAAAAAAAATTGCAACTATGAGAAGTGCAAGTGACAGTGAAATGAAAGCTTCATGGGAGCCAAAATGGAACAAATTTCATCTTTGAAAAAAAAAACAATTTTTCCTTCTTCTTCTCCCTTTTTGTTTAACCTTTTTGTTGGTATGTTTGTTGGTTGAACTTTAAGAAAACAATGAAGATCTAAAGAAGAAAAGGTTAAAAGGGGCGGTGAGATTAAAGAGAGGGAAGAAGAAGAAGACAAACATAGCCGGCGTGAGGTTCGGCCATTCTTACATTACATTATTTATTTATTTTTTAATGTGTTGTTAGTATCGATATCTCACATCTCAATCACAGGCCAATATGCCATGCAGATGATGAGGTTATATCTTATGGATTATTGTTCCCTGATTTTTATTTTTTGTTATTGTTTTATACTCTAGTTGTTTATTTATTACATCATTTAAAGTTATTTTTATAATTTTTAAAAATATAATAATTGGATTCACATATTTTATAAATATTTAATTTATTTTTATAAATTATGTGTCGAATTGATTTATTAAATATTAGGGGTAAAAACTATTTCTTTTACTTTAAAAAAAGTTAAAAGGATTAAATTGAACTATCAAAACTTAAGAGAGGACTGAACCTGAAATTAGATCATTTAACTGAAGGGACTTGTTACCAGTCCTTGACTTTGACCCTGTCGGGAGGCAGGTGAATATTATAATATTTTATTTTTTAATTATATATCTAGTATTTTAATTCTTATTTTTAGTGTAACGTATTTGTACATGAATTTAAAGTAGGTATATATATATATATTATATATATATATATGATAAAATAGATAAGATAATATAAATGAGATTTTTTAATTCCTAATATAATTTATCTCGAGGATTATTTTTTCATATATGGTGGATTTAACAGTACCAACCGAAAGACGTCATGTGCTCCACACGTTTTCAAGTTAAATATGAACACTCTACAACTGCATGACGTATTCAGACAAATGAAAAAAACTCCACTACATCATGGCGTCTTCAAACATATTAAGAAGACCCCAACGGTACACGACGTCTTTAGACCAATAAAAAACCCTAATTCAATAAATAATATGATAGAGGAAGCCATATATGTATATTGAATAAAGTTGAGTTTTATATATAAATATAAGAAGCTACGGACTACCATATATTTTGAATTATTAAGTACTTTATACACGTACATAATTATAATTTTTAATCTAATGGTACGTTTGGTTCACGAAATATAATATTGTCTTTGAGAATAAGATTATCATAATGTAACACTACTTTGGGAAAGTTGCAGTATCATGTTTGGTCAGCTTAGCAGAAATATAAGATTACAGTATTTGATTGGAAAACTATAAAATTACTTGGATGCATATTTTATTAAATTATCCTTGTGATATATATTTTTAACAAGTAAACTTTAATATTTAATTATTACACTATCTAAGTTGAAAGAAAAAATGCATTTAACATATAATTAATATAATTCGTATATCAAACTTATAATTTTAAATAATTTTTATAAGTATCATATTTATTTATATAAACTATAATATAATATGAAAAAAATAATATTGTGATATCGAGTGGACAAATATATTAATTTTTAATGTATATGATTTATTTTGTAATAACTCAAAATTAAATATTATTTTAAATAATTATATTTTTACAATAATAATATTTGCACCTCATAAAATTATAAAATAATTAATATAACAAATATTAAAAATATAGAATATATTTTTTTGGATAAGTAATATTGTATTATCCAAGAAAGCATGAAAACTTGCTACATTGAACATAAAACCTCAACAACCCCTTTACAAAGATTTACAAATAAATACCTTAATTAGAACATAAATCCCTATTTACAATATCAGCAAGATCAATACATCTACAAGCAAGTTTTATTCTAATAACCTCCTCAATGACCACCAAAATCAAACCCTGCAAGCACTTGTAAATTGTCTCATGTTCCTTTCTTCCCAAACAAGGTACACAAAAGCCCATCCAACAAGCTTAAAAAAAAGATTTACCCTTAAGATAACTCACCATCCAATCAAGTTCCTCGTTCCATCCCATAGCTCTCCTTCTAAGGCAACACTTGATCAACACTGCTTTCCAAACGCCCACAAGAAAAAGAACATTCAGAAGAAAAAAAATGATCACAAAATTCATGCTCATCACAAAATGCACATACCTCATTCGTCGCAACCCCCATTCGTAACAAACGATCCTTGGTGGGAAGTCTATCCAAAATGGTCATCCACCCTATGAAAACGTGTTTAGGGACATAAAAGAGAAACCAAAAAGATCTATGTCAACTCACTTTAACCCCCAATAGGCCTAAGTTTATTCCAAATCCAATGAGTGGTAATACAAGAAGAGTTCAAAGAAGAAGTGAGGACTAATTTAGCCTCCTCCTTCAAATCGAGTAATCTTTGAAGACTCCAACTAGTATTAATCTTTTCATCAAATTGCCAAAAGCATTGCCCTTTAAATACATAGGCATTAAGCCATGCCGCACATAATGAACCTTCATCAGCCAGAATTTCAGAATAAGAGAGATAGAGCAAGCTTTGTTCCGTCCTCTAGTATCTCTTAGCTTTAGCCCTCCCTCAGATTTGGCAGAACAGATTTGCTTCCAGCTCACATGAGCCCCCCAGCAGCAGAGTCTTTCCCCTTTTAAAGAAACCTGGCACAAAGGTAGTTTACCCTTTTAGTTGCATACACAAAAAATTTGACGTGCTAAAAAGAAAAGATTTTATCAACTGACACCTTCCAGCATAACTAAGTCTTTTACCTCCCCACTGGCCAAGCTTGCCCCTAATTTTCGCCAAAAGACAAGCACAGTCACTTTCAGAAAGCCTCTGAGTGACAAGGGATACTACCAAATATCAAACTGGTAATTTCCCCACTTAGAATCCAGTAGCCTGTCGAACCATGTTTACTTGATCAGTTGAAACACCAGTGTAGAACTAATATTTCGATATAACAAATAAGGCCAAAATGTTTTTGGACTACATTGAATTTATTCAAAGTTTTCATCAAAATAATTCAAAGTACAATCAAAACCTTAAAATGAGTATTTTGACCAGAAGTTTCGAAACTTTTACAAGAGTTTCGAAACTTTCCAAGACAATTTCCCGAAAAGTTTCGATACTTTCCAATAGTTTCGAAACTTTCATTAAAGTTTCGATACTTTAGGTCCAATAGTCATATTTTTTCAACATCTCTTTCAAAGAGTTTTGAAACTTTCCCAAAGTTTTGAAACTTTGTGTGCAGAAAGTCTTCCAAAGACTCCAAACCCTCCCAAATGACTGAAAACAACTAGTAACTCATTCTAACATATAAAAACAAATTCAAGACACTTGAAGAATGTGACTAACACCTATCCAAGCAATCAAACACAAAAGAAAAGCTTTTCATTCTTTATTTCTCTTTCTCTTGTAAATATTTTTTTTTTGTGAGCTTTAATTTGTAAACACCTTCCTTTTTAGAGGTTTTCTTGTTTATAATTCTTTTCCTTTGTAAAGGGATTTTGGTTCTAGCTAAGCCTTTGAAAAGCTATGGAGTTTGTAAAGGTTATCTCTTTATCCTTGAAAAAGAAATAACAAATTAGTGGATTTGTTGGAAAATCCTAAGTGATGAGCTTAGGTAGTGGATATAAACTTCATTAAGAGAGTTGAACCACTATAAATCATTGTGCAAATTTTCCTATCTTTATATTCCTTACTCCCTAAACTTCGAAAAGCCAATTCACCCCATATGTGCTTTCTTTGACTGTTCAACGATGTATTTATTTATTTATTTATACATGCATTGCATTTTATCTTTATTTTTAATTTCCTGACTGCCGGAGGTCTTACACGGAAGCTTCTCTTAACCTGGCGTTGGGGACAGCCTACTACCCTACATCCTCCTTACCCTATTGTATATGGGAATAGGGTTTTATTGTTGTTGTTGTTGATGATGATGGAACTAAAAAAGACCCTTACTCGCAGCCAAGTCCAACATCCTAGAGAGGGCATTCATAACAAGAACAAAGAGAAAATGGGAGAGGGGATCCCCTTGCTTCACACCTCTAGCTCCCTTAAATAACCCTCACCAAACTGCCATTAAGGGAGACCGAGAACAGAGCACCAGTGAAGAAAGCACACATCCACTCCTTAAACCGAACAGTGAGACCTAGAGCATCAAGAATACAAATAATAAACTCCCATATAACATAATCAAAGGCCTGCCTCAAATCAATTTTCATTGCACATCTTTTGGACAAGGACTTCCTCTCATACCCTTTAACCAACTCCTGGGCTAAAAGAGTGTTATCAATGATATCCCTACCTTGAACAAAAGCAATTTGATTCAAGGATATCAATCTTGGGAAAATCATCTTAAGCCTGCCAACAAGAATCTTAGAACCTTATACACAACAGAGCAACAAGCAATAGTCCTAAAGTCATTCATCATGCTAGCATTTGGGGACCTAGGGACAAGGATCAGAGTCGTAGCATTAAACACATGCAACATAACAGATGAGGAAAAAATATCTTACAGTAGCAAGAATATCTTTACTTATCACGCCCTAAGCAGCTTTAAAGATTATTAGATTATACCCGTCAGGGCCAGGGGCTTTGTCATTCCTTTGACAAAAAAAAACTTCTTTAATTTTTATATCAGTCACCTCTCTAGTCAAGGCATCCTCCTCCTCATGAGATATAAAACAATTTTAACTACTCAAATTTATTAATATTTTATTAAATTAAACTATTTGTATATTATTATTATTAAGTTTATAATTTTGAGTAGAACACGAAAAATAAAAATTGAGAATAATTCATATGAAAAAAATTATTATTTTAGGGATATTTACATTCAAAGTGGTGGGAATTGTTCATTACCTAAGAATTTGGAGGTAATGACATTCCCACCATTTTAACCCAAAAATGCTACTATAGGTAATAAGTTATTACATGATAATGATATTTTCCGTGAACTAAACATAGGAATACAATTCCGGAAAATATCATTCCCCTTAGTGATGATCTTTTCCGCTAACCAAACGCCCCCTAAGGATTTATATGTTTTCCTACCGTGATTCGAATTTAAATAATATTATTTATATTTTATATAAAAAGAGATATAATTATAGGAAAGGAGGGGACGTGACCCTCTAAATATTTTGATAAAATAACATTTTAGATGATTATTAATTTAATATATTTGATAAATAAGATTTCTCACTTTCTTATTTTTAAAATTTAAATATTTAATAAATTCTTACATCTTATAATATTTAATCATAATTGAATTTATTCAAACACTAACATTGAAAGTATTATCATAGGATATATAAGAATGTTGAAAAAATAAGAGTTTTTTTCCCAACAAAATCAAAGCAATTTTACTTGCAACGCGGAGGGATGGGTGCATCCATATCAGATACAGAGATGCATTCATTAGACTTGGGGATAGACCATCCGATCTTAGTTCTTTTTATTATATTAAGGTGAATATAAAATAATATTTATTTTAAATATTTTTTAATTTTTTAATAATAAATACTCAATAATCCTTCTATAATAGTTGGTGGTCGAAGAAGTGACTATTTCTCTAATGAGATAATAATAATATTATTATAGCAATTGTGAGGAACAATCTCTGGTGGAGCCCGAGGATGCCCTTGGAATCCTCAAAGGGGGGCCAAGAATCGAGCTGAATGTTTGTCGGTTGTCACAAGCTTTGATTGAATGCTTACAAAATACACAGACTTGTCGGTTAACAAATCACATGCATTATTATTATATTACTCATCAGGGAGCATGCCACTTTTGAATACTTGAAATCCACACCATTTTTTAAGTTTCAAATCTAAAAACCTCCATCTCTATCCTTGCTGACAAATAACGATGCATTGTGTTAATCAAACCAAACCCAAATCTCATCACGGCTGTACCACTCAGGATGGATCAGCGGATATCCCAGTTTCAACCACCCGTCTGATTTTTACAACATTGAGAATCTTTGCATTGATGAACCCTCAAGGGTCTACTATTTAATAGGACTATCACAATGTATGTACATAAATAGGATGCCCATAATAGAGAACAAAATAAGGGTGACATATTCACTATTACATCCATCTAGCTAAGTTCTAAAGGTTGTCCTTCCAAACACACTTGTACTCTGCTCTTAAACATGTGATCCACCAACACAACCATTGATTCATATGGTTGTGGTACACCTGGTTTCATGATTTATCAGAAAAAATGCATTATTATATGAATATACTTATATACCGGGTGAATTCATGGTTCTCTAGGAGAGTAACATCCTCATCACTCCAAAAAGAGTCCATCTAGAACATCGCCAGTGCCCCGAAATCGATTCTAATACCATATGCCACAATCCATAACAACATACAAGGAATTGTCTGTTTTAGCCCAGTGAACCTTTCGGTTTTGATCCACAAAAACACCTCACCTGTTGAAGTTTATGTGAGTACTTATATCCCAAGACCAATTCTAATGCATAGGCGACACCGGATTTATGACTCCTCTCTAAAATCATAACAAAAGGCGATGTGAAGTAGAAAATGGAAGAAAATATTAGTGATAAACAAAGATAAGACATTACACGTGAATAGATCCCCTCAACTCAATAGTCTAAATCCTCCCCAAAGTATCATAACCATAACAATTTTCTTCCTGTAATGAAAAAATCATAAAAACCATAGAGCACTTCTTCAATTGAATAAAATAAGTTGCATTGCAGTTGGGTTACCATCGTAATTACAACCAAGTTTTTTTCTTGCCACATTGCTCCATCTGTCCCAGCAAGTGTTTTACCTTTGCGCGATCTCTTCCTTTTCCTCTTGTTATCGGCATTGCTATCATCACCTTTAACTTCCTGCAAAGAAACTTGAATATCAAATATTGTATGAAAATTACCTTTAATTCCAAAGACTTGGTAAATGCATTCGAAAAACAGGAAATGCTCTCTACACTAAAACAGAAAATGCCTTCCCAGATTCACGATTTGGGTTTTCACAACTTTTTTTTCTTCTTAACTGAAAGTGGATTTGGACCCTATAATGTCAAGAGGAAAAAATGTCAATCCCACAAGCATTATGATGGCACCTTTAGCGGTTAAAAGGGAATGATATCACAGAAATTATACATCTTAGACTCTAACCCAGTTAATGTTAAATACAAGAATTCAATTAGAAGGGATGAACTCTGCTTCAGCTTCAAGACGTGATAAAACAATCTCCAAGCAATCAAAATCCCTTGAATGATTCTAATTATCAAATGATTTTAGCTTTTCAAACTAATGGCATGTGTGTGGATGTGAGTAACAAGGGAAAAATGAAACTAGGATGACATCGGTTATGGAAGTAGATGTCAACTTTGCATAATGCTGGTTTATTTACATTTGCGTGTTTCCAACTAACATGCTCTATTCATGAACCATTGGCAACATTTCCAAAAGCAATTTAATCAACTTGCACTCTCATATAGAAAATGCACAAGCCATATGATCTCCTGCAATGATTAGGTTAGATCTGCAAAGTACAATTGTGACCAAAATGGTACAAGTTGGAAGATGGATATTGGAAAGTACATTCGCTCTCTTCCTTTTAAATCGAACTCTATCCTTTGCATCTTTCCTTTCCAGAATAATTCCTGGTATTATGTGGCAGCAACCCTGGATTGTGACGACCCAAGCCTTCTTCATCAACCAAATCCTCTTCATCCACATTTGCTGAAGCAATAGAAGTCCTCTTCTCTAGTGCCTTAAATTCCTTCTCAGTCAAATGAAGGGGCTTTTCTTCAGAAGATTTGACAAAATCACGCTGAAACGTTGATGGTTGCTCAAGGAAAAGTGCATTCCGTAGACCAAATATTAAAGGAACATTAGGCACCTAAAGAGAGAAAAAGACACAAAATGAGAATGCATATTCACAGGAAAATTATAGTACAAACTACAAACTCCGTAATGGAGATCGAATAAAAGCATAAATGTTCAAGTTGAAAGCAAAAATTGTTATGTCCTTGAAGGAACTTTGTACTCAAAAAAAAAAGAAAGAAAGAAAAAAGCAATAGCAACTATTGCTCCGATTCTTTATTTTTCATGAAATATCATGTCCAGCATATATCCGAATATGAATGTGGTGATATGACACCCCAAGCTCCCTTCAAATACATGTAAAAAACCAAGAAAATTAGACATACACTGCATCATATTCGTAACTAACACTCACATGAGTCCAACTAACATAAAATCAGAATAGTAAATTAGTAAAACTAAAAATTTAGAAGTGAAAAACAAAAGTTACCTTCTGAAGTTTCTTTCGAAGATCAGCATCCTGGGTAGCAACGAAAAAGTGCTCAAGATTATTTTCTCCAATGACATCCTCAATGCAAGCATCAGCACTGACCTTCTTCTCATGATCACATATGAATATGATTTTCAATTACATCTCAAACAAATTACATCCATCGGAAAGAAGGCTAAACTAAGAAAATTCGCATACAATCAACTCTACATAAATATTTTCAAAATAACAGAAACTTCGAGTAAATTAGCCCCAAACAGGCTCAAAAGAGAAGGGGTTACCGTGCGACTGCGAGTTTACGAGCTGCTTGATATGATGCAGACTGGGCAGCACCGAGTTTTTTAAGCTCGGCCAGAACACAGATACCCCACAGGACAAGAAAGGATTAGATTTTCATACAAAGGCAAGTTACTTCTAGAAACTTACACAACAAAGAGGAGGAGCGTTGAACCTGGTGGTGAAAAGCTTGACGGGGGCGGAAAGAGCCTTTTCGGCGGGTGTTAAGTCATTTTGAAGAAGATGATGCACGAAAGTTCCATCGCAAAGAACCTTGAATGGCTGCCTGAACCCGAAGCACACGCTGAAGAATCTCACCGTCTTTCGGTGACGCTTCTGCTTCTTGAATCTCATATTTCCTCTTCTCTTTTGCTAAAAGTAATTGAGAATTTGATAGCCCAATGCAATCAGCCAAAACCCAACCGCAACAGTTTCCACTTTCCGGTTACAACAGATTTCAGATGAAAGCCACCAGGGTTTTGCTTTCATAATATTGACGGTGGGTTTAGCCATTTGTGTAATAGAATTCAGGGTAAAATACAACGTAAGTCACTCAATTATTAATTTAGTTACAAACGTGTCATTTCCTTTCTAAAAACTATAATAGAACCATTTATTTAAAATATTATTACAAATAAATTACCGGTCCTTAAATATAAGATAAAATAATAATATGACCCGATATAGCAACAGTTTTAATCTTATAACTTCAATATTTGATCAATTTAATCTTTATTTTTCTCTCATAATGTTATATACTTTTATGTTATATTTATAGATTGACGGAACTATGTAGGTCCTTGCGGGCCACTTCCTCAACCTAATTTTTTTACCATTAAAAAATATAGAGATAATTACCTACTTAGACCTTTAAATTTAGATTTATTTTTATTCCCCTCTATTTTCTATTATCAATTATACTTTGTCTCCCTTGAATTAAAATTTTGATTTCGTCCCTGTATTTATAGTATAATAGCAATATAACACTAATAATTCTAATTATTGTTTTAATCCAAAGATTTATTCGATTTTACAGTATCAGAAAAAAATAACAAAAGTAATAAAACTTTCAAATATAATTAGTCACATTTTTAAAATATATTGAATTAATATAAAAATAAAATAAAATTTATAAATTTCAAAAATTAAAATTATTCATGTATAATAAACTATAAAGTAATATATGTTTTAAATACTTTCAATCATTGAACAATGAACGCTCAATCATCCTGCTACAGTCGTTGATGCTCAAACTCATAACTTCCAGAAAAAATAATTATTTTTTTAATCACCGGGATAAATTTATTCGTACACATTTGTTTTAACTTTAAAAATAAAGAAATATATTTGTAATAATCACAATAGTGTAGAGTATAATAAGAGTAAAAATCACACCAACCAATTTGCTATTAGCAGCATCAGTAATGAAAAGAAAGAAAAAAAAATTATTACAGCTGTTTTTTATACACTTAACAAACAGCTGAATCTCAAAGTAAATTTTGTGCTTCACCAATATCACACACCGCATATTTTCCTTCATTTCGTCGCTCTAAAAAGCTGGCTTCCAAGGGTCACGGTCGGGCTTTCTTCCCCCATCACAGTCGTCAAGCTCATCTCTTTATCGAGTATCCGGTCGAGTTCCGTTACAACATGGCTCATGGCCGGTCTCCTCTCGCTCGATGGTTCCAAACACCGGACTGTTAGTTTTATGAATTCTTCCATAGCTTCAGCTGTGAAGCGACTCCCCAACCGCTGATCGATGATGCTGGAAATGTTGCTGTAATCCTGGCTATTTTGCACCTTCCAGAAAGAAAAATAACATGCATCAATCGGTTTCGGTCTCTCGAGAAAACTACACGACATAGGGCTCGAATACTTCTTCATGGAGAAATAGCAAACTCGCATCTTTCGGTAACGATATTACAATAACCACGATCTTTATATATGGCAACCATCTATATACTAAATCATGTCGTTAGTAAATACGATGTTTGGAGAGCACGGTTACGTTTGAGGCGCAGATGAAGCCGTGGAAGTGAAACGCATACAAAATCATCTCCCACAAAGAAATGCAAGCTTACGGGTTTTCTTCTCTTATATAGCAAGATACCGATAGCTGTCATCTCGTCAATTGCGATCTTACTAAAAAAAAACTCACTACGAAGCAAATATTTCGAAAACGAATAAATAACTGAACAAATGGAGCCGATGTCATACCAACTCAACAAGGTTCTCCTTGGAGTTTGAAGATGACGGTTCTGATGCTTCTCGTCCGCTTACTAGCTCCAAAAGGAATACCCCGAAGCTATATGCATCACTTTTTTCAGAAAATCGTCTGAACTCCCTTACCCTGCATTAGTCAATGCATGCAGGTAAGACTTATGAATGATACAACAACAGAACAGTCACGAAAGTGAAGAGAGGAGTACTCGGGAGCAAGAAATATCTCATCTGCCGTCACTTGAGAAGAAGGTCCAGCAACATCCATTCTTCCCAGAAAATTCCGTAATCCGGCATCTGCAACCTTGGCTATAAAATTCTCATCTACGAGAACGTTTGCTGTTTTGAAATCTTTATGTACCAATCGAGGACTTAGAGAGTGGAGATGCGCCAATCCTGCAGAAGGGACAAATAAACGGTCGAGGCAACATAAGTCAGGCAGAAAATTTTCTAAAATTACAATCACATTAGATGGACTTCTGAATTCCGAAGCATTACCGAAGCTCACAAAAGATTTTTGAGGGACCCCTATTGCTAGTTGGATAGTTTATCTAAAGAAAGAAAAACTGATACCAGGAAAGCCACAAATGCTCACTGACTTTGCAGAGGATCACCTTTAGCTGCACCTAGAGCAATTGAAAGTCTATGCTTGAATTCTATCTTCTGAGCTGACACTTGACCGACTCCTGCAGAAATAAACCGGGAAAAAACTTCAATAAAGAACCAAACGCTATTTCACTTTCTCGATTAAATCTCGAACCATGTGCCTAACCGATCTCTCCCAACATGACATACACAAATATACGCAATTTTTTTTTGGGGGGACTGGATAGAGAGTTACCGTACAAGTGAATGGAAACGCTTCCATTGGGTATATATTCATAAACAAGAAATTGTTGATTATTTTCCTGGCAGTAGCCCAAGAGAGTGACAAGATTCCGATGCTGAATAGATGAAAGATAGCAGGCCTAGGAGTAAAGTTGAGTACCATTAGATCAAAGGACAAACTGTACAAGAGTTTGTACTAAAGCAGCACGGAGGCAAATACAGATTTTACATTTTAAACAAATCATTTGAAAGGTTGGAGAAAGAACAAGGCAAGCCAACTCAAGATGCATGCCTCAAATTGAGCTTAACAAGAAAAGGTTAACATGTTGACCACTAATTACAGGGACAAAAATCTACCAGCTTGAGACCCGAGTATGGGTTGTATGATATTTTTTGCTATATTTTGACAGATACTGGAGACCCCGAATTAATATCATGTGAAGTAGGGACTCAAATTAGCGAGTTAACCTTTAGAACTTTTCAAAGCTGGTGAAAAATCTCAACCTAAATTCAATCCACAGGTGGAATTAAACAGGAATCTTAAAACGGAGAAATAGACTCAATTGCCATAATCAGCTCAATAAACGTCAGACAAGTATCTTTTACCTCATCAATAAATTCCTCACTAGGTTCTCCAACTCGCTTTTTGATTGCAACCAGCACCCCATCTTGAAGCAAACCTTTATATACCTCGCCAAATTTTCCTTCCCCAATCAGGTTTCTATCGCTAAAACTTTTGGTCGCCGAAGACAACTCCTGCAAATCAAAACGTCTAGCTTCCCGTAGTGACAACTGAACCCCAATATGTCTTCCTAGTCCTAGAATAAGTCATAAAAAAAAACATGAATAAGCCAATTGTTACAAGGTGCTTATGGCCTTTAATGGACTTCAGAAACAAGCATGACATAAATGTTACCTTGAACAGATGGTTCCGAAGAACCTGTCTCGGATGTTCTCGAAACACCCCGTTTGTGAAATAGGCAGAACCATACAAGCAAGCCAACAATCACCACCAATGCCACGGCTCCTGCAGCACCTCCTAATATTGCTGCAAGATTCCTTGACATCTGGTATCGGAACTACTTCAGCTATGGTTGAAATTATTGTACATTGAACCTGAAATATTGCCGATAAGACGACCGGATAAATCTTTATCCGGAATCAACGTATGCATTCAAAATTCAAACAAACAAAAAAAAGTGCATAAACTGAAATGGCGTGAATACCATCCATTTAAATAGAATCTAGCTATATGGATAAAGCTAGCAAGTTGGCAGCTAGCAGGCGGGTGACAAATTGGCAATCTTATAAATGAAAGATGCTTTGCATAGGTTAAAAGCTAAAAAATCAGAAGCAACTCAGTTCAGAACGTTTCCCACTCAGTACTACTACTCGGTACCCATTGTACAGAACAATGAAGCAGATCACAGAAATCAAAAGAACATTTAATTTGAGCATCCAAAGTATTATGCCTTATCCAAGTCAAAAAAGAGAAAAAGGAAAAATTCAAGTGGACATAAAAAAGACCATGTTGAGTCAAATCAGAGACAAAAATAGAATGAGACATTGATGGCAAATGAAAAAGAAGAAAGGAAAAAGTGTGAAACTTCAAACCTGTATTCCCATTCATTTGGCAATGAGAAATCAAGTTGATCTCTTTAGGAGTAGAGAATCACCCACATTCCCACACCGAAAAGTAACAAGGAACAACAACAAACTTGCATGAGATTTGGGGGAAGAAATCAAGAGAGATACCCAGAAAAAGATAAAGGGTGAATAGGTGAAATCAAGGAAAATAAAAGGGTGGAGTGAGCACGCAAAAATGGTGAGGAATCAAGGAAGCAAAATAGTTGAAGCTGGTGGAATAGTTGTCATTTTCCTCCTTTTTTTTTAATAAACAAGATGGAATGTCCAAATCATTAAAACAAAAACAAATGGAAAAAAAACACCAAAAACAGCTTTGGGGATTCAAGTTCCAGTGAAAAAAGAAAAACCATAAACTTCCCTCAGCTTAAATAAATATGAATAAACAAAATTGAACAACTAATAATACCCATCGTTGGATACAGACAAATGCCGACAGAAAGTGAACCTGCGCCAACAACACTTTCTCCCCCAATATATAAGTTTGTATATGTATACGTATATGTGCAACAAACAAAGGAAGAAAAATATACTCTTTTTACTGGTTTGATTGAAGCAAGAGACAAAGAAGAACAAGCAGAATAGATAAGTGATAAACAGGAAAAGAAAAAGGGTTCTTCTTTTTCTTCCTGGAGTGATTGTTTTTGCTTGGATTTCGGTTTTTTGAATTGGAACTGTCGATTTCCTTTTTGGGGTTTTTGTATTTGTGGGCTGTAAAGCAGACGAAATGTTGTCTGCTACTGCAAGTTGAGAGAGAAGAAGGGTTTATTTGGTGTGTACTGTACAGAGCATCTTCGCTGGAATAATAACAGCACAAAATTTCACAAGAAAAAAGAGCAAACAAGTTGGTAATTTGTTCAGAGATAGTATAAATATTAAAGATGCTAACTTGTATATAATGATGAAACTCAAAAAAGAAAATGAATCCATGGTTTTTTAAAGTCTTATTTGTAGAAGTGGCCAAGTGGGGGTGGCGTCCTTGTTCTTATTTTTTCCGTTCGTTCTTTATTTTATTAGTTTTTTATTGTTAATTTTAATTTAATAATAATGTTTCTCTTAGCCCATTTTTGATAAGAGTACTATGACTACCGGTGCAAATTTTTAAATTAATTTTTTTCTTGAACTACTATTTTACATAAATTCATGATTGGTTGCGTTTTTTATGTTCGGTTCCTTTGTTCGGACGATTTATTGGTTATCGCATATATGTGGTAGATGGGAGTCATTGGTGTGATCAGTTTATGTACGTTGTTACTTCACTTGTTAATGTTTTTGTTTATTGAGTGATCATTGTTATATTTTATTTACGATGGTCACGACTGTATTTATTCGATCTGTAACTGACAAGACGTTTTTTTAATACGACTTTTGATAAATGAAATATCCTAATTATTTTTTTTTAAAAATGGTATTATATGTAAAATGTTGTTTTACATGTTTTCTTTTATATTATTTTATTTATGAACTAAATTACACAAATAGACGTCAAAATTTTTATGCTTTTGCATTTTTCTCATCGATTTTTTTTAAAACTTGTGATACAATCGTTCAACCTTTGATTCACTTTCATTGTGATTATTATCACCGCTTATCGTTAGAGGAAGCCGAGATGGCACATTAATTTTCTTTTTTCTTAATAAAATAATATATTATCTTTTAAACTCATTTTCATGTTAAGTTAAAATCATGCAGGAACAAATTTATCTTAGTGGTTAAATGAATTATTGTTTCTATAGATCATAGGTTCGAACATCATCGAATACAACAGGATGATTGAAAACAAATTAAAAATTTAGAATATTTGGGTAAGTTGGAATTTAGGTTTTATGATCATACTAAAAGTGAGTTAAAAATTCCTATCGATAATCAAACTAAAACCAAATTAATAATTATAATCAAACTAAAACCAAATTAAAAGTTTGACAATTATGTTATAAAATTTAAAAGTTCGGTGATTAAGATACAATTGTCGTAAAAATTCGGTGACTATATATAATTCACCTTTGTTGTTATTATACATAGGTTCAAGGATTATTTTTGTCATTGTAATAGATTTAATTTATCATTATCGCTCTTATGGTATTTTCGTATTAATTTAACCCTAAAAATTTTTTAATCGTATCATCCTATACCCTAAACAATAATAAGTATATTAAACATTGATGTCATTGAGCAGCCTGAACTAAATTGATGAAAAATACTATTGAATCAAAAATTGATGTCATTGAGCAACCTGAACTAAATTGATGAAAAATACTATTGAATCAAAAATAATAAATCAAGTTTACTATAGAAATGAAAGTATTCCTTAAACTTATATATAGAGAGAGAGATGGACGCATAATTTTAAGTTAGGGATAAAAACATATTTTTAATATAAAATACATAAAAAAATCTAAAATATATAATATTTTTAGATTTTTAGATGGTGACTGCCCCACTCGTTCTTCTAGGTTCATCCCTATAAGAGAGAGGGGATAAGATGTTCTTATACAATGTAAAACTATTTTAATTTTATACAGACTTAGGATCATTGGTCAATGAAAATATATGACTGAGATTAAAAGTAGAAAATATGTAGATATTTACTAGGAAAAACAATGAGTCAATTACAAACATCTATTTTCACTTATTTAACGGTCTTAAATCTATGTAAAAGTAAAAAAAAAAATTATATTGTGTAAGTAAATTATATATATAGCTGACAACAGCAGATAAAACGGCGCAGTACAGCGAAGCTATCCTTCCTCTTTTTATTTATTATAAGATCTCGCACGGAATGGAAGATGACTTTGGATTCTGCTCGCACCACATCTACCTGACTGATTAAAGGTGTCGTTAGACGGGGTGGCGTTGAATTGATCACGTTTTTGTTTTCTTTTTCAACTTAATATTTTCCATAAGTTGAATTTACTGAATAAAAAAAGAAAATAATTTACGTAAACAATTACGAAGGTGTTGCGTCATTCGGCATGTTCAAGTCAGTCGGTTGAAAAAAAAAACATTAAAATAGATTTTAAAAGTGTTACAAAATGTGGAATAATGATTGTTTTTATTGACTTTTGTTATCTATTTGGAGATATCTTGGAAAAAAATAATTATCAAAACAGATTCGTGAAAATTATCAACTCTTCACCAGTTAAGATCTTTAAATGATGTTTCGTTCCATTAGAGTGATTGAGTAAGTATAATTTTTGGTAGACTCATGTGATGCATTTGTCCGATATTCAGAATTTAAGTATTAGATTTATATAACATATCACCCTACAAATATTTATAATGATCATGTAACTATCACACACGTTAAAGGTTATTATAAATACGTCAATTAAAGTTAGAAAGAGAGACAATTCGCTTATTACCACATCGATCCTTCTTTCACTTTCTAACGATGATACATATTAAATTAAAATCCATAATTATAGACACATTTTAATGTTATTATTATCATGTGACATAAAATTAACTAATTAATTATTTTATACAAGTCATAAGATATTAGGAGTATCATGAAATCTTTACCTGTTTAGTGGAAATTTTGAGGAAATTTTATCAGATTAATGATTTAAAATAAACTGATTCATATGAAATATAAAGGAAATTTTTTGTTAAGATAGGATGAATGTTATAATGTAAATAGGAAGTCATGTGGATCACCTAACGTTTTTGGAAAGACTCACTAAAGACATATCATCTTTAGGAAGACACGCAAAATATATGACATCTTTAGGAAGACACGCAAAATATATGACATCTTTAGGAAGACGAGTGATAGACATAACGTCTTTTTCAGTTTTCGTAACAAAGTGTCGATATCGTTTTTTGCCCAGGTGGGAAAAAATTTGTACGACTTGGGGGTTTTTCTTTGAAAAGATTTTATGAAATGTAGGGAGTCACCACCAATCATTTTAAGGTGCGATTGAAACACTATAAAAATCGGGTAATTTTAATAAAATATTTTATTATTTTATCAAAATACCAAGTTTGGAATCTACGAAAACCAGAAAAAACGGGTTCGGGAGTCAGTTACGCATGGGGAAGGATTAGCACCCCCAATGCCCATAAATTGGTACCTAATTGATTACCATACTTTAAAATTTGGAAATTTGGAGTTTGAAGTTTTATTTAATTTAGAAATTATGGATGCAAAGTTTGAAAAGGAAGTTTTATTTAATTTAGAAATCATTATGGATGCAAAGTTTGAAAAATATGTTCGTTTATTAAAGCCAATACTATTCACCCCCTAGCATGAATTGTTGGAGATCAATTAATGTGCCCAGTAATCGAACATTATCTTAAAGTTCAAAAGATGAGGTGTTTTTAAAAGGATATTGACATACTTCGAGAATCACCGGTGGTAGCCCGGTGATAGCCCCTAGAGCATGATGGCGGGGACTATACTATTGATTCCTTAATAAATCAACATTGTCTTATGTTTGAAAAAGAAATGCATTCAATCAGCATGTTTAAAAACCTAATTATGCTAGGTGAGTTCATTAAGGCTTCTCCTGACCTAAAGTGTTAAATTATGAAATTAAAGAATCTAGAGGACTAAACCTAAAGTGAGGTCTCTAATATTTTTCTTATTATATTTATTAACCAACTATGAAACCGGACAGTTGATTTGAGTGATCGGTCATTTTCATACGAAATTCCAAATCAAATCATCCCTCAATGTTAGGGACTAGAGTGAAATTAAACCTAATGTCAAGGCTCTAATTGTTAACCTAATTCAATTATGTTATGGGAAACTAATTAAAGTTTAAGGACTAAAAGTGAAAAGTATAAAGTCAAAGGGCTAAATCTAAACTAAGGCTCTAGTTATTAATCTAATTAATTATTACCAGTTATTGAATCGAGTAATTGAAATGGTCCCTCGAGCATGTTAATGAGAGGGCTAATTCAAATCACTCCCTAAATTAAAGGACTAAGGTGTGAGAAATCTAAATCTAAGGTTTGAAACCAAAATCTAATTAAAGGGAAAAAATTAAACCAATAATAAGGCATAAATTAAGTTAAATTAAAATTAGCATTCCTTAATTAATACATACTTGAAAACAACAAGACAAAATAAATATTAGAATGCTAAGTAAAACACCTTAATTAAAATAACTAATTTAAAGGGAAAATAATAAATAAATAGATTTAAAGAATTGAATAAATAAAAATTAAATTAAATATAAAATTGAAGATCTTGATTCGAATAACCTAAAAAAATAAAAATGAGAAGTTAGCAAAAAATAAATTAGAGTTAGGATAAGATTCTAATCAAATGAAATGCAGTGCCACAATTAAAATAAAATAAAACAACATAAATAAAAGACCAATTCATAAATTAGCATAATTAACGGATTTAAAATGAAATAAATGAAAAGGATGAAAAATAGTGACTAAATTGAAATAAATTAAAAATTAAATATGCAATTGATGAATTAAAACATGTGACTTAAATATAAAAACACATCAAAACTTTAGGAACCTGAAAGAAAATAAACCATAATGTTAATGTTGAAAAATAAAAATGGTAAATAGCAAAACCAGAACAAAAATCGAAATAAATAAGAAAGTAAAAAAAAACAAGTGACCAAATTGAAAGTTATGAAACATGCGATGGTTGTGGAGCCAAAGAAGCGTCGTCTGAATTCAGCAAAGAACGCTATCGTTGACTATCGCTTAGTCACCGTTGACAGCCGCATCGCCACTGTTGTTAGTGGCCGTTGGGGTCCAAACTACATCGATCGACTTGTCTTGACATCGAGTCCATATCTGGGCTTGGTTTCATGAGAATCAACTTCCATTGCTATGAAATCCTCAATCCCATGCTCTGAAATCCTAATTCCCTAATTTTATGCTCTAGAATCCTTAATTCGTCACTTAAGGCCACGATAGATCATATTGGCACACGAACCACAAAAGGGATCAAACTATTGAAAGACCACTAATAAACCGCAAATCAGACTCGAGCGACATGAAAAGCTATCCATGAACGCAAATTAAGTATCCAAATCCAATATGAGAGTCTAAAGTAGGGAAGATCAATAAGACATCAAATAAGCGCCATCTTGCTTAGTTGTGATGATGTCAAATCAACCCTAAAAAAAGATAAATGAAAAAAGCCAAATGATTGAAAAACATGCCAAAAGACAGAAAAAGTGTGTCATAAAGGCAGATGAAAACGTGTCATAAACGTGACATGAAATCTACCATGGGAATGCTTCAAGCTTATGCAACCTACTACATTTCATCTAAATAACTTACATATGATATAGTTGAGTCAAGAGTGAGTTACCTTTGATGCTAAACTGCTCAAAACTTCAAAGACTCAGCCCAAAGTAAACTTTTCCTTCCCCTTAGCTTTGGAGTCTTGTCCAACCTCTTGCACTTAACAAAACCAAATGCAAGGGTTACTAACTGTTGCTAGGGATTAAGGAGGGTTTTAAAACACTTCCTAAGGCTAGAAATATCTTAAAAAAATGGGTTGAAACCATCTAGTTTCTTAAACCCTTCAAAAACCTATTCTTGAAAACTATGGTGACATGGGTGATTTGAGAGCTTGAACCAAAGCTTGAAATGCAAGGGTTATGATTTTTACCGTTAGAATATATGTTAAGGACTGGAAAATGATAAAGTTCACACCTTTACTTTGCAAGGGAGGAGAAAAACGGGAAGAAGAAGATATGAAGAAAACAAGGAAGTGAAGAAAAAGATGAAGCTTTCATCAGACGATGATATCACCCAATTTTAAAGATTTTCAGCTTTAATTTGAACAAGGGTAAAAATGTTTCATTGGTCCCTCCAATTCTGACTATATATTAAAAACACAAATTTTATTTACTATTGGGCTTACCTCAAGCCCACATCCTCTTTAATTTGGGTCAAAGCTTCCTACAAGATAAGGAATTAAACCAAGGCCCATCTTGGGTTAACCCAATACTTCTAACCCGGGATTCAGGGAGTTACATTCTTGGAGGATATGACACAATGCACGAAGATCTAAAGCCCCCAGCTATTCGGTAAATGTCATTTTCTCTTGCCAACTTTTTTGCCGTGCCATTTTTACATGCTCCTGGGTATAAGTGCTGTATATTTGAAAACTTCCGTTCTCATAGATGTAATAATCGCTGTTATCTCATTTTGATAGGTTTACCACCAAGATATCGGGACTCTGTTCGGGCCGTTACGCCTGGCTTGCCTCTATTTCTCTATAACTACACTACTCATCAGTTGCATGGTGTTTTTGAGGTTAGTTTATCAACATCATACTCATTTAACTTTCCTTTGTGTTATTTTTTGTGATTAGGAGTTCATTTATTTTCTGAAAGTTTACATGATGCTGACTTTTTCTGAATGTAATGATCATTTCAACATCTTCTGGGGGTTCTAACATTGATCCAACTGCTTGGGAAGACAAAAAGTGTAAAGGCGAGTCAAGGTTTCCTGCTCAGGTAAGAGATTGTGCTTATAGTTTGAAGGAACTTGAATTTTATTCCCGTTGAAGATTGCGTGAACTCTAATTCTTTTACTTTCTGTTCCCCAAATAAATAGGTGAGAATCCGTATTAGGAAACTCTGCAATGCACTGGAAGATGAAGCTTTTAGGCCAGTCCTGCACCACTATGACGGCCCCAAGTTCCGTCTCGAGCTCTCAGTTCCCGAGGTATGGCAAGCAGCATCTTCCATTCTCCTATTTCATGTAAACTTCCAGGTAATCAGAATATCGAACCCTCTTTAGTCGTAACTCAAGATTTTCATATCGTAATTTTGCAGACGTTGGATCTATTAGACCTTCGTGAACAAGCAGGATCTCCATAGGCAAAATGTTAACCGAGTGCAAATGTAGTAGGGTTTATTGTTATATGAAGGCCGCCTGCTTTTCAGAGATTCGCCGTAAGAGCGCAAGCTGTGGGTTTAGAACCGTTTGGCGAATCATCTTGGGAAAAGGTGAGAAATGGCGTTAGCCAGCTGAATAAAAACTGCATCTTGTGTATTGTGAAGAAGCTTGGTGAACTTTTGCATCGTATTCTTATGCATCAAAGATCCTATAGAGACAGCTGTAAGGCGTGCAAGAGAATGAACTAACCATGTGTTGATGTTTAAAGTCCTCAAGAATTGAAGGGCTTTGAATTTTATGTCTGATTTGTGCTTTATAAATTTTCCCATGTATTGTTTTTGGTCCGGTGAGGAGAAAGATGCAGTCAATCAAAACGAGTGAAATGCTAAAAAGAAGAAACACACTTGTTTGAATATCTAAATTGTGGGAGGGGAAGGAAAGAGCAGAATTGACTGTAGCGTTCATTTTGACCTAGATAAAATTATATTATAGAGAAATCGTATATCAAATTTTCAAATATACATTTTTAAAATAAAATTATGTTTTATATAAATCACACGAATAGTTTTAAAATTAGTTATTTTAAATTACTTTAAAAAATATAGAAAAATTTTAATTTTATTATTAATACATGAGTTACAAATAAATTTGAATAGGTATTTTCATTTTCTTATAATTTTATATGATTAGTATTTTTTTCATTTTAAAAAATATTTACAGATTAAAAGAACTCTCATAAATTTGAAAAATGATCTACCAAAAAGGAGATTAATTGTTAATTTAATAGTGTAAAATTTAAAGGCATTGTTAATAATTAAATTATATATTAAAACAATTCTTTAGAAAATAAAATTTAATAAAAAAAATATAGTAGTCATTAATATTTTAAAGAATTGCATTACTTTGGTTTCATCTCAATTTCATACTTGGTAAACAATCAGATCCAAAAAAAAATCCAACAAAATAAGAAATGTTTCGGATAAAATGTGCATAGGGGTTAAAATAAAGACCCTAACCTAAAATGGACGTTTGGTTCAAGGTATATCACATTATCGGGGGAATTGAATGTCATTTCTCCGTTTGGTTGACAAACATTCTCAACCCCCGGTAATAAGTTATTCCCAACAGTGGTATTTTGGGGTTACATTACCGGGAATGTAATTATCCCCATTCCGTTAGGTATTTTTACATTTCCGGCATTTTGGACTAAAATGCTCTTAATTTTTTTTTTCAAAAATATCATTCTTCTATCGTTGAATAAAAAAAATCTACGAATGTTAAATTACAAATTTATCCTTAAACTATTTTAGATTTATAAAAAAAATCTATAATTAAAATTTTATATGAAGTTTAGGGGATAATATAAAATTTTACCCTTTCATTAAACCTATTTATCTTTTTCAATTTTGTAAAAAAATTATATAATTTTATGAATTTAATTTTTTTAAAGAAAATATATAAATTAATTATAGTTAAATTATAGTAGAATTCAACTTGTTAAAAAATAAATATATAATAAGGAGAATTTGATAAAATTGTTAAACACACAACCGAATCTTATCTTAGTCCTGATTGCCGTGTATGAGACCAAAAAAAATATCAACGTAGTAAAAAGCGCATTTAGGAATGAAGGTTCACACCTGGAGTCTCCCCTCATGTTGGTTTCGGATTCAGCTCTACGTAAACAAAAGACATGAAAGATGTCATTTTAGATTTGCTATATGACGGATACATTAGGTACAACTTAAGCATGAATCCTGAAGTTTGAAATATCGGTATCCTTGTAGGTTAAAAAAATCATAATCCTTACCTGATTGCAGCCTTGATATCTTCATAAGAAGCTGCCTTCTCAAGTCTCACCGTTAAGTCAACCCCAGAGACGTCAACAGTGGGAACACGGAAAGCCATTCCCGTGAGCTTGCCATTCAATGATGGCAACACTTTGCCAACAGCCTATGCAATTACAAGATAAGCACCGCAACGGAAGTATACCTTGGCAGCTCCAGTGCTGCTGGGAATGATATTGAAGGAAGCAGCTCTACCACCTCTCCAATCTTTTCACTTTTGGGTTGCTGAAGTGAAAAGATTTTGTAAGTTCAACGATGTCCAGAAATTTGCAACAAGAAGCAATAGAACACTATAAGTAGTTACCAGTAATCGAATGGACAGTGGTCATAAGACCCTCAACAATGCCAAACTTGTCGTGGATGACCTGTCACCATGTTTACAAATCAAGTACTACATTAAGATAAAAGAATTATTCCAATGCTTCAAATGAATAAGAGAACTCATTATTACTTACCTTAGCCAATGGAGCAAGGCAATTGGTAGTGCAGCTAGCATTGGAGACAATGTTAAGGTCAACCTTGTACTCCTTTTCCCCCACAACAAACATGGGGGCATCCTTACAGGGAGCAGAGCCTTCTTTGCACCACCCTGAAAAAGCATTTTAGATGAGAATACCAAAAATGAGAACTTTCTCTGGGTCGGATAAAATAAGGACATGTAACTTCCAATAAATTTTCTCTTATGGCTATCAAATAAACCTATTATCAAGTCACTATCACAAACCTTCAAGTGAGCAGCAGCTTTGTCCTTGTCAGTGAAGACACCAGTAGACTCAACAACGTAATCAGCTCCGGTCTCACCCCATGGGATTTCCTCCGGGTTTCTAACGTCAATTGAAAACAAGTCAATAACATAGTTTATATGCGGAAAATGCAGCAATGCTCTTTGATTCAGTTACTAAATCCCTTTCAAAAGAAAGATTTATAACCACCTGATGCCGAAAACAGTGACAGGCTTTTCACCGAACAGCAGGGCCTTTGAATCCTTCACCTTAAGTTCTTGGTGCTTCCATTGACCGTGAACACTGTCGTACTTAAACATATAGGTCTGTGCAATATGATCATTAAACGATATCAATAATAAAATTATACAGTTAAAAACAACATCCAATTAGATTTTGTGCTTTCAAGCTAATTAATCGAAAATGTCTAATAGATCTATATTGACCTGTGACAATTGAAATTTAAATTATTTCCAGATAAAATATGTGAAAGAAAAATGTAAGAATCAGATCAGGGAAATTAACCTCAAATCATCATTTTTCTCTACTAGAAACCAGATCAGCTCTTTTCACACAAAAAAATAATCCGAGGTACTATTTTCCTCGTTCCACTACTTTTCGGATATTTGACAGTATTCTGAAAAGCATGAAGGGGAGACCTCCAACTTTTATCAAATAAATAAATAAATCAACGGACCGATCTACCAACATGCAAGTAACCAAATACGAAGGAAAGTACAATGTACGTGAACGGACCATGTAATCGGTGGTGATGAAAGGATCATTACAGCAACAAGCTCAATATCGTCGCTTTGGAGAGCAACTCTTGCAACCAAATGGCCGATCCTTCCAAATCCTTCAAGGAGCACACAAAAAGAAATCAGATCATAATTCCTTAAAAAAACTAAAAAAAAAATACTAAAAATAATACCGTTGATTCCGATCTTGATCTTAGCCATGACGGAGGAACAAAAGCAAAATGTTAAGAGATAAAAAAAAAAAGTTGAGAGAGCGGAGAGTGAAGCTCAAGTGAGTGAATGGTCAGAACCGTAGGATATATATATGAGAATGACGAAGTGTTGAGTAGGACCACCAAAAATGGTAAGTGCCGATTGATTGGTTGAGGAGAAACTGAAATTGTATCGGTGCGGAATGAAACTCTATATAAATCTTCAGTTATCTTTTAAAAGATTATAAATTTCAGAATTAAATAAATTAACTTAAAAAAAGCCATATTAAATTATTTTTATTTTGAAACTATATATATATATATATGGTCTTAATTTTTTAATATTTTAACTGTTATTATATTATATTATTTATTTCTTTGTAAGCGAGGATTAAAATTTAAAATTATCTTATAGGTGCCGTGAAGGTAATAAGGTGACAGATAATATAATTAATATAGTATGATCTCAACTGTTCGAAGCTCGAATTTACATTAGATCACTAGACTCTTTGAAAACACGATGCAATATAACATTGAACGTTGGTTGATTAGTTTACTATTATCTCCTTTATCTTTTAATTATTTAAAAATATTCACTTATACCTTATAAAATAACGTTAATCAAATCAGAATCATTAAAAAACATGTCACACTATGTTCATTGTGATCACTCCTTTAGTTTATATATGAAATTAATCTCACATGTTTTAATTAAGAAATTATTAATATTATCAATATTTTTTATGGTAAAAGAGTGATCTTTATTAACCTTGAAAATAAAACCAATTACAATAATCAATTTCATAATTAAAATATAAACTGCAAGTCATATAATAAAAATAATCCAATAAATAAATTGTTAAAAATAAGGGTAAAATACATAAATGTTCCTTTGATTATAGGATATTGCTTTATTAAGTCCCTTGGCTATTAAAAGTTATAAAATGATCCCTCGACTATAGGAACTTGCTTTATTGAGTCCCTCAACTATTAAAAGTTACAAAATGGTCACTCGTTTATTCGTTATGGTCCAGACTCGTTCTTTTTCGTTAAAAAAATAACGGTCAGTTGAGTTGGACGTTAGTATGTTGGCTGAGATATGATAATTGTTTGAGATTATGATATCATATTTTATCATATCTTAGTCGACAAGTTGATGCACATATCAGACTTTCGTCAATTTTTAATAGAAAATGACAAGTTTGAAACATAATAAATAGTCAGTGACCATTGGACTCAAAAAAATAACTCTCTATAGTCAGAGGACTATTTTGTAACTTGTAATAGTTGAGGGACTTAATAAAATAATATTATTTAATCAATTGATCATTTATATACTTTATCCTAAAAATATTCTTTTAATCGTTGCGATGTACATTACCATTGCTTGCATAAGAGGTTTGCTTAATCATTGTACATACACACAAAAATACCAGACCAAAAACTTGAAAATGGTGAAGTAGAGGAATATTCATGTAATTAATCCTTTTGTATTTTCCAGCCTGTCCGACAAGGCGACAACAGGCTTCGTCTGCGCACGTTAGCGCAATGTATTGATTCACAAAAGCAACACGTAAGCTTCAATTCCACTAGTACTATTTTTTTACTCACCAGCGCATGTTAACCCTTTCGTTTTCTCCCGTCAAATTTCAAACGGCAAAACATGACGCCCTTTATCCCCTCCCCCTGTCCCATCCCAAACTTTCAAACAAAGCCCTCAAACTTTCTCAAATTTAAAATCTGACCCCTTAAAAGCATTTTCTAAATATCCATTTTTGAAACTTTCTCGTTTGTCAAAAGAACAGATTTTCCGAGAAAAGAAAGGGTGAGATGACAATGGACAGAGAGAAAGCGAGAGAGATAGAGCTCGAAAGCGCCATGTACACGAATTGCTTGCTTTTAGGCTTGGATCCGTCGATAGTCGATATCGGATCATCCAATGGAACCCCTCGGGTCGGACATTTCCGGCACTCCAACCCTAAACTGGGCGAACAGCTTCTTTACTTCATCCTCTTTTCGCTTCGTGGACCCACTCAATCCGCCAGGGTAGAGATCATTGCTTCCGGTTCTGTTTACTTTCGATATGGTCTGTATTTATCTTTAGTGTAGTTTTGGTTTTTGGATCTTTTCAGGATTTCGATAAGGTTTGGCCGATTTTCGACTCAGCGCAATCTCGTGATTTTCGGAAGGTTGATTTTGTTTATTTACATCTTTTGGTTTTCTATTTTTCATCTTATTATTTGTTTGAATTATTATTTATTTATTGGTAATTTAGGTTGTGCAAGGAATAATCGGTGAGCTGGAAACACAAGGAGCTCTACCAAGGAGTAATTCGAGGGTTTCTTCGCTTGCTACTTGTTGTGGACCAAGGTTAGCTGGATAATTTCTGTTTGGCTACCAAGAAAATTCTAGAAAGTTAAGCACAATGGAAAAAGTGTATTAATTAGCTTGACTCTTTAACTTAGTCATATCTGCATTTGGCTCATTACAGTAAATATTTTACAATAGCACTGAATTATACTGTAACTTAAAGTTGTCTGAATTTTTTTTGTACAACTAGGATTTCTTGGTAGCTGAAATTCGATAATTCGTGGTGATATTTGAGTTTCCTGTGTGTTTGGTTTTAGATTTGTTGAACTTTTGTGGCAACTTTCATTGCATGCTTTGAGAGAGGTTCATAGACGGACTTTTGCATCAGATGTTGCTTCTAACCCATTGCCTGCACCATTGACTGATGTTGCATTTTCTCACGCTGCTACACTACTTCCTGTAACAAAGGTAATGTTGCTACAATATTCATATGAAGCACAATTGTAGGGTTTTTCCCCTCATATTATAGTTCATTTGATTGAGAGTTTCAGTAATAGTTTCAAAATTGTTTTTCTGGACTTCCATAGAAGTAAAGTAACATGCTTATAAACAGGCTCGAATTGCACTTGAAAGGAGGAGATTTCTGGAAAATGCAGAAACAGCTGTGCAGAGACAGGCTATGTGGTCAAATTTGGCTCATGAAATGACTGCAGAATTCCGTGGTCTTTGTGCTGAGGAGGTAAGTAGATAATCATTCATTTGAACTCTTTCTGACCATATATGTCAAATTATCAATGTAATTGGTGTGATTTAGGGGAAAATGGCAGTAAGTCAATAAAATTAAGACTTAAAATGTGTAAGATAGAAGTGGGAACTCTTGAAAACATAGGGTTATAATTAAGCTGTAAAATAGGTTTATAGCCACAACTTTATTATTTTCCCTTGAATTAATAGACTTCAGAAACTGGTGGTTTTTTCAAGAGTTTCAACTTCTGTCCTACACGATTTTTACTCTTAAAAATTGATTTGCTGCTGTTTTCTCCCTAAGCAGCACTGACAATCCCCTTGCCCCTTTTTCCTTTCTGGTAAGGGATGACTGACTTAATATATTTAACTAATATCTTGGAAAACTTATATCACTCATTTTGAGTATTTATTTCAAATTATCAATAAAACCCTCTTTCCTTTTTTCCTTGTTGTTAAGGGATTATTTTGACTTGATATATTTTAACTTATGCCTTGTAAAACCTGGATCATAGGCGTATTTGCAGCAAGAGCTGGAAAAACTGCATGACTTGAGAAACAAGGTAAAGTTGGAAGGAGAGCTATGGGATGATCTTGTCTCCACTTCAAGTCAGAATTCTCATTTGGTTTCGAAGGCCACTCGCTTGTGGGACTCTATATTGTCTCGTAAAAGTGAGTGCAAATGAATCAACTGTGTACACTTCCTCTTTATTATATTGTTTGGTTTTCATAACCTAAACAAACTATATGTCCAGGTCAGCATGAAATTCTTGCTTCAGGCCCTATTGAGGATTTGATTGCTCATCGGGAGCATAGGTAATTTGCCACCATATGTTGTTATGGTCCTTTTAGATGGTGCACATAACACTTCCTTTTTCTTAATTTTATTTTCCAGGTATCGCATCTCTGGATCATCTTTGCTTGCAGCTATGGATCAGAGTTCTCAAGTTCCTCATACGGACACCTTATCTGTCCAGTCTGGTGATTTGCATAACAGTGAACAGAATGATGGATGCCACACGCAAATCAATGAAGAGATACTTTCTCGAGTAGATAGAAGTGGAAGAGTCCACCAGACTGTTGATCTAGCAGAAATTATCAGACGTTGGACACATGCATTACAACGTATTCATAAACAGTCACTTCAGCTGGTATGTCGTTTTGTGTATTTGTTTTCCTTTATCTGTTAAGTGAGATGTCTTAGCTTGTAGCCTTGTACTAATAATTGTCCGTCGGTGATTTCGTCAACTTCTGAATAGCATAATGTCCATATATTACTAATTATGAATATGATGTTTGTTTAATTTTGGTATTGTAAATTTTATTTGTAAGTACTTATTTTTCTTCATTAAGTTTGAAGCTGTGGCATTGGAATATTCGTTGCGTACTTGCATTATATTTCTGCAGGCAAAATCTTTAATAGTTACAAGCAAATCCTTCATTTAATATTTTCAATCTTTTGATTATGTTAACAAGATATGTTTATGTTATGTGAGAATGAACAATTTTCTGTTTTCAGTTTCTAAATTATTTAAAACCAATTTTTTATTTTAAAATTATACCTCATTGTTCATGCAATTATGGATTACATGTTGCGAATCATCAATGTTGAAGTAAGGTGCTAATATGCAGTAATAATATAGTACTGCTATTGCTTTGCAGGCAAAAGCTAATGATGGGGAGGGTCCTGATATTTTACGAAGTGCACATGATGGTAGGATGGGCGGCCATGCTGAGTCATTAGCTGCAACTCTTACTGAGCATCAGCAACACCTAGCTAGCTTTCAGGTACTAAATAGCTATTGTACATTAAGTAGCAATTTACTAACTCTAGGTACTGGAAATAGATCATAGTTTTGAGCAATTTCATTTTTTCCCTAATTTGATGGGCAAGTGTACATGTCATGTGTATCTTATCCTCGTTTAGTAGGTTTTTACCTAATTAATTGTTAGGCTGAAAGTTTTAGAAACATAAATAGTACTTGGCAAGTAAGTAGGTTTTTTGAAGTCTTCAAAAGCCCTAAATATTGCTAGATGTGATTTTCTTAAGTTACTGTTTGCTTTGTATTTGGTATAGAATTTGGTAGACACAGATGAAAACACACCTTCTTGACAGCCCGAAATAAAATACTCTTGGCACCCACTAAAGTTTGGTCAAACGTTGATGATCTACAACCCTGACCCTGAGAATCTGGAAACTTATAAAAGCTTGTAGTTAAAATTATTTGAAGACTGAGAGATGAGTGAATGGGGATATGAGTTCTGTTTTCTTCTTTACTTTGCCTCATACATGGATGTTTGTTTACAAGTACATTTACACATGTACCTCTCCTAAACCATAAATTGCTGTTATGTTTTTTAATTGTCTTGTAACAAGATACTACTATTAATTTCTAATACATTTCAAATGCAGGTGCTTATTAACCAACTAGAGAAAGTTGCTCCATCAATCCAGAAGTCAATATCAGAGTGCATGGTGAAAGTAAATAGCATTTCCTCCATCTTACCTGCAATGGCCAAACATCGTGGTCAAACCACTTCACCTATTCAAGCTCAGAGCAGTAGAAGGACCTTGGTAAATGTTCACTCCTTGCTTTTGTGATGCAAATATTGAATAATATTTTGAAACTTCTGAATATTTGTGTATGTAGAACATTTGACTCATTTTTAAAGATATTTTTTCTGGATCTTTCAGGAAAGTAGTTCTGATGATGTTGGTGACATTACTTCAAAAATGTCTGCTGTTCAGCTTGAGAAGAATTCAGCCAGCCCTCCTGCTTTAAAGCTTCCACATTTATTTAGTTTAACTCCAAATTCATCTGGAAAGGGTGGAAGCATTCAAAAGCGACACACCTTACCCCCTCAGACCAACCAGGTTGACACTTTGTCTGAAAATAGCTCTATGGAACAGCCTCTATCAAACGATCGCCTGGATAACTCGTCGCGAGGTTTGTTGCTTTTCATGGTCCATGTGTCTCTCTACATGCTACTGGTTTAATGCCTTCTATCAGTTGAAAGAGAGTAATTTAACTCCTTTAACTGAAGAATTTGATTCTTGATTTCTTGTTGCAGATAGTGATATTTCTTATGTTGAGAACATAAAGAGATCTGTTAGGCAAGCTGCATTGTCACTGCCGTCCTGCAATTCAGAGTTATCACGTGACAGGCAATCTGATGAAAGTTCTGAGCATTTCTTTGTACCTATTTCATCAACTAATCATTCTCATGTCGGACCAGAAACTAAATTGGGCTCAATAAGTACTAAGAGACTATTTTCAACTCGAACAGAAAATTCCTTGCTTGACAGCCATGCCAATGGTGGTCGTATTGGGAATAACTATGACAACTTATCAAACATGTTGAACAATCTGGATTCTCCTACTAATCATGATCAATTAAATGGATTTCACTCAGCCACTGCTTCTAGTTGTGCAGCATCTTATTGGCAAAGGTCGCTTTTTAATTTGGAAGATGCGCAGGATCAGGTCTTCTCTCCTCCTCTGCTGATGGACACATCCCTGTTAGTCGATTCTTACGAGGACTTGCTCGGTATGTTGGTTTGCTTGCAAACTATTTCTATTAAAAGGCATCCATTTAGGAGCTGTAGTAATAGGATGCTTTGTGTTAATGTTTTAATTGTTTATCCACTACACTGATTTTCACATTTACCAAATAAATTCAATATCTAGTGCTGCAACTGGGAATTTTACCCTGGTTTTGGCTTATGAACAGAGTTCTATTTGTTCTCGTTTTCTACCTTGTGGTATTGTTTTTGATTTGGAGGTTGTTTGTGCAGCGCCACTTTCAGAAACAGAAACAGCCTTGATGGAACATTGAGGTGGAGCTTAGACGATTCCGTTCGGATGATTTTGCTTTTGATTGTTGCTTGGGTTGTGCAGCACTCTCCCATTGATAGGCTGCTTGACATGATACCTGTATGTACTTTTCGGGACAGATCGACATGAGAGAAGCTAACTCCACTGAAATCTTGAAGACTGTGGTATTACTTTGTAAGGTAACACAAGCTCGAAAAAAGAAGTTTCTGTTTTGCCTAAAGTGAAATCATTATGTTAATATCTTCTTTAATTTGATCATTATTATTACTACTACTACTCATACTATGTGTATCTAATATGCTAATATATTCTTCAGTACTGACGAATACTGTGGTAAGATCGACCCCCCTTTGAAGTTCCTTGATTACTGTTATTTTGATACAATGTGAAGATAAATCGATAGACGATCGAAAGTATTCTTTAACCTCTTAGTGTTTTTAATGTGCGATATTTTTCTCCAAGTAGTTTGATTTACGGTGAAGGTTGTATGGGTGGCGTCCATTGCTTATGAAGGAGGTTTGTTGATTTGTTCTGAGAATGGAGAAACAGATTGTGAAAGGAGTGTGTTGTACATAGTCTTTCAGCTTAGCTTAGAATTGATCTCTTTAGGGTGGTTGTCGTTTAAGATAGGATAATATTTTGACCATTTTCTTATGTTTTTCTTTTTCATTGGGTGCTGAAAGATGATGTAGACAGACTTCATTAATGCCTTTATATTGCTTTCTTTTTTTCTATTAAAATACACTAGAGGTCGTTGCATTATGCTCAAATGATAGTTTTGGTCATTAATCTTTTAAGAGATATAAAATAGTTATTAAATTTATCAAGGTGTTACAAGATAGTCACTATAAAGTTGTGATAAATTGTGACATTTTGATAAAATTAATGACTATATGGTCACTAATTTGACCATTTTGGTGGTGGACGTCTAGGGGTGGCAACGGGGTGGGTTGGGACGGTTTTGCATTACTCATTCAATCCCCAATACTTGCGGGTAGGGTTTTGGGGAATTTTCATTATATGTTTCGGGGATTTTTTTGTCTCTATGTCTATCCTTTACGGATCCCTACGGGTTTTGGTTAATCTTTATCCCAAAAAATAAATAAATATTTTTAAAAATTAACGCAACACTTAAAACTGTATATATCAGATTGCCTCAAATTGATCTTTATCTATAATATGAAAGTTTTAAACGTTAATATTCATCTAACACCCAATGTATATGTACGATCTTAATAATTTTCAATCTCAATAAATTAATGTATATTAAATGAGAAAATATCTAAACTTCAATTTTAGTTCCTTTAAGATGTAACAGTGGCAATGGGTGGGTTGGGACGGTTTTGCATTACTCATTCAATCCCCAATACTTGCAGGTAGGGTTTTGGGGAATTTTCATTATATGTTTCGGGGATTTTTTTGTCTCTATGTCTATCCCTTACGGATCCTTACGGGTTTTGGTTAATCTCTATCCCAAAAAATAAATAAATATTTTTAAAAATTAACGCAACACTTAAAACTGTATATATCAGATTGCCTCAAATTGATCTTTATCTATAATATGAAAGTTTTAAACGTTAATATTCATCTAACACCCAATGTATATGTACGATCTTAATAATTTTCAATCTCAATAAATTAATGTATATTAAATGAGAAAATATCTAAATTTCAATTTTAGTTCCTTTAAGATGTAACAGTGGCAATACGTAATCTCACAAATATTTTTCGAGGATCCCCACGGTTATTTTTGTAAAATATCTGGGATCCCTACGATTATTTTTCGGTGATTCCCACAGTTATTCACACAGGTACGGTTCGATTATTCAGGCGGTTCGGATATAGCAATCCTCATCCCTATTCCCATTTGAGCTTCGAGAATAAAACTTATCTCATCCCTGTGGGTAAAGATTTTGGTTATTCTCTATCTCGTCGGTTCTGATCCCCACAGTTTTCATTTTTTCCTCTCACCTGATTCGTGATTGATTAAAATGGAAAGTTATTGAAATTGGTGTTTATTTTGGTTCGGTGGTTATAATTTAGAATTCATTTTAAACAAAAACAATAACTTTTTCTTATTGATTAATAATCCGGATTTAGTATTAAACTAAACATACTCTTGAGCTTGTCAATTGAAGTCTTATCTTTTACAACTTTGAAACCAAAAGGAGGATCTTATCTTGGACGTTGAAAGAGTCCATTTTTTGTGTTAAATTCACTGTCACTTCACCTAAATATATTTAATCACGGCATCACTTAGCGATGGGAAAATGATTACTTCATTGGCTTCTTTTATAACAGGGTAAATTACATCTAAACTCAATTTTGATCCATTTAGTATTTAAACTTTTAAATTTTTTTAAAATTATACATAAAATTTAGTTTTTATTTCACTTTAATATATTATTGTTAAAAAAAATTAGTTTTTGTTTTATTTTAATATTATCATTCAAAATTTAATGTTAAGTTTTGAAAAGATTAAAAGTTTATATACTAAAACGGACAAAAATTGATAGTTTATGTACTAAACATGTTAAGTTTTGACAACAAGATACTAAAATGAAATAAAATTTAAAATGTAAGTATGATTTAAAAAAATTAAAAATTTAGGTACTAAAATTGACTAAAACTGATAATTTTAGTATTAAATACATAATTTATCCTTTATAATAATACCAACAGTAATAAATCATCTATTAGAGATAGAGTTTTTAAGTTTGCTCAAACTCAAATTGCGCATGATATTTGAGCAGTTATCATAAAAGGATTAGGTATTTGAATAGAAAATTAAGACGAATTATAATATATATTATTGGTCAAATAAAACATCATCAATAACGTCTTGTCACATGCATACAAGATAAATACAATCATATCTATCATAAATAAAATATATCGATGATTCTCAATTGACAACATGATAAATAAGAGCGTGAACAAATGAGTTAATGACATACATAGATAGATCACTTCGACTTCTCAAAACATCAAACATAGAAGAGAAAAACCTAAAGAATATTCAAAGTGAAGAACTTCGACTATCGCAACGCGAACTTGGACTATCGTAATGCGAATATGTAAATCGCAATGCGATAGTCGAAGTTCGTGTTACGAATCTGGAAACTGATTTGCGATACCGGAGATTACGTTATGAATTACCGATCGCATTGCGATTTAGTTGGTCATTTTGACAAATTAAAAAAAAATAGTTAAAATCGTATATTATAAGACATTTTTTATCACTGAGATTATTTTCTCAAATAAAAATGGCATGGAAGTGACAAAAGGATACCATCACCGCCGCCATTGATGAAAAGCTTGTGAAAACCTCCCAGTAATTTTGTAACTGCAACAGAGGTTTTGTTTTTTAGCGTTTCTGAATAGAAAATTAATAGACAATCGTATAGGGTGTTTTCAAACTATGATTTTTATTTAAATTTGATATTTAAATTTTAAAATATTTTATATTATATTTTAAACTATGATCGTATTTAAAAATTAGCTAACCCTATTTCCATATATAATGGGGTGAAAGGGAGATAAGGTAGTAGGCTGCCCCCAACGTCAGGTTGAGAGCAGCTTCCGTGGAAGACCTCCGACAGTTATAATTATAAATTATTTACCGTGAGACTCGATCCCACGACCACAAAGTTAAGAGCCTTGTGCTCTACCAACTGAGCTGGACGAGCAATGTTATTTTCAAACTATCAATGTTATTTCATTTTTATTATTTCATTAATGTGTCAATAGTTTTATTGGTTAAGAATAGTTTATTTTTAAAATTATTAAAAGTTAAACTCTCGACATTCTAAAAACTTTTATGACCTTAAAAATTAGTATAATTAATGATATATAAATAAAAAAAATAAAAAAATAAAAAATATATATAGTATTGATTGCTTGAGAATATATACATAGCATTTACAATTTATAAACCGATTTCAAATAGGCTGCTTCCACGAGATAATATTTTCGAAATTTTTATTTCACGTGATAATGTACTCTCAAGTTTAATTGCTGAAGTAGGGTGATACACAGTTTGACCGTCATAGGTCGCCATGCCTTCCGGACGACCTACGACGTGGCAGCTTTCGAGAATAAACGACAACGACGTTGCATGACACATGCAAGCCAACCCATAGGTCGCCATGCACTCCCATGCACAACTCCCACATGCATCCCACAGCTCACAGCTCTCACATGCATCACTCCTTGGTCGCCCACAACTCACAGCTCTCACATGCATCACTCATTGGTCGCCCGGATTGTATGGGGATCTCCTTGGTTGCCCGGATTATATGGCGATCTCCTTTTATCATGTAGAATTCACCCTATCTCAGTAAATAATATATCTAAAGCATATCTCATGAAATAAAAAGTTCGAAAATATTATCTCGTGGATTTTGCTATTTCAAATATGGTCATGGTTTAATTAAAATTGATGTAGAATATTTTAAATATTTTTCTCAGCTAAAAAATATAATTTATTATTTCACGCGCCAAAACACGAACGTAGAATGTTTTCCTGACCACAACTGAAATCCGTGCAAAACCGAAGATGTTGACGTGGTAATTTACGAAGGTTAGAGGGATGACAAGGCAATATAGGCTGTGAAAATGGATTTGTCCTACGTCTGCAAAACCACCACTCGCTCTTGATCGTTGCGTGAGAGACACGACCTCATGAAAACACTTTCCATTTCTCATTCTTGTAGCCTTCATCTCATCCCCTCCCAAAGCAAATAAAAGGCGGGGTTTCCTGCGAAAGGTAAAAGGGTGATTTAGTCAATTTAGTTCCATCTTCATCCGGAGCAAATCAAAAAGCGAGAACTTTTCGGGTATGCTTAGAAAATTTTGATCTTTTTGAAAAAGAAGAAGAGATGGGATAATTAGAACATTTACTTTCCTCAAAAGACACACAAAATCATCCAGAGGTTGGTCGGTGATGTTTCTTTCTAAATTCCATTACTTTTTTACCCTTAGATTCTGAAAAGAAGAGTGCTTGTAAGTGTATGATATTTACCTTCATTCCATCATCATCGACCGGAGCTGTCTTTCTTTCTTATGTTATTTTTGATGATTTTGTAGGTTGCTTTTGGGGGGAAAATGCTAGTTGGGGTTGTTAAGATCAAACCAAGATCTTCATCTTTTGATGATCTAGCTTAATGTTTTTCTTTTCTTCTTTTATCTTTGAAAAGCTGGGGAAAATTAGTTTCAAGGAGACAACAGGTGAATATTCTTTGTTCCTTTCATTTTGAAGTGGGTAAAAGAAGATGAATTTTGAGATTTTCTATGCTGATTGGTACATTTTGTCATATAATTTGTTGATTTGCTTTAGCTTTGACTGGTTTTATATATTTTAGATATGTTGATGTTCAAAGAAACAAGGAATTTCTCTGTTGGCATTGAGTAAAATGATTCATCTTAGTGAGGATGGAGTTGCACATTTATTGGCGGATTGATTCATCAATGGCGTTCGGATTATGAGTGTACTTGTTTTTAGGTATTTGATGGTGCATTTGCTTTGAAGGGTTTCGTTTTTCGCTTCGAGTTGTTAAGTTTGTGAGAAGAAATTCTTGTTCAAGTTAGGATGATCAAACAAATACTTAATAGGCTCCCTCGGAAACCATCTAAGTCGAGCGACAATCATGATGTGGGAACCTTTACCTCCTCATCGAATGCTTCTACCAGTTCGAGTAATAGGTTTGCAAACCCAAGTTCAGGGCTGAATCAAGGGAATAAGATTTCTCAAGTGGTGAATGCAAAGTTGAATGGGAATACTTTCGCTGCTTCCTTCGAGGCATTGCCTGGCTTTAGAGATGTTCCGAATTCCGAGAAGCAGAACTTGTTTATCAAGAAAATGAACATGTGTTGCATTGTGTTTGACTTCACTGACCTGACGAAAAACGTCAAAGAGAAGGATATCAAGCGGCAAACCTTGCTGGAGCTTGTGGATTACGTTTCATCCGCTAATGGAAAGTTTTCAGAGATTGTTATGCTAGAAATTGTAAAGATGGTGTCTACAAATTTGTTTAGAACACTTACTTCTCCACCGCGTGAGAACAAGGTTTTAGAAGCATTTGATTTGGAAGAGGAGCCCTCAATGGATTCCGCATGGCCTCATTTGCAAGTTGTTTATGAATTTCTCTTGAGGTTTGTGGCATCACCTGAAACGGATGCAAAACTTGCCAAGCGATATATCAATCACTCTTTTGTTCTTAGGTTGTTAGACCTTTTTGATTCAGAGGACCCAAGAGAAAGGGAGTACCTGAAAACAGTGTTGCATCGCATCTATGGGAAATTTATGGTCCATCGTCCATTCATCAGGAAAGCAATCAACAATGTGTTCTTCCGGTTTATATTTGAAACCGAAAAACACAATGGAATCGCAGAGCTATTAGAAATACTTGGTAGTATAATTAACGGGTTTGCTTTGCCACTGAAAGAAGAACATAAGCTCTTTCTTGTCCGTGCGTTGATACCACTTCACAGACCAAAGTGCATACCCATGTATCATCAGCAGTTGTCATATTGCATTACTCAATTCGTGGAGAAAGACTGCAAGCTTGCTGATACCGTTATTCGGGGATTGCTAAAGTATTGGCCGATTATAAATAGCTCAAAAGAAGTCATGTTCTTGGGTGAACTGGAGGAAGTTTTAGAAGCCACACAACTTGCTGAGTTCCAACGCTGCATGGTTCGCTTATTCCGCCAGATAGGCCGTTGCTTGAGTAGCCCGCATTTTCAGGTACGAATTTCATCCAGTCTATTACTCGCAACTTTTCACTCTTTTCTATCTTAATGTAATCCCCTTGACAAAGCAATAGTAGTCAAATTTATTATATAGTTTTAACTTGCAGTTGCTAAAAGGATGTTGCATGGTTTGTAATAAATGTATGTTTGTTATTTGAATAGCTCGAAATTTTTGTGGCCTATGCCCCCTTTAATTTAGTTGGTTTGCAATGCGCTGACAAGAGGACAGTTTCAGACTTCAGTTTATTTTATAGCACTCGGGGGTATCTCCATGGTATCTGGTTTTTAATGTTATCCTTGTATAGTTATTTCAGTAGTGGTTATCTGTGTTACTTGAATTCGGGTGTAATTGGAGGGTCATTGGAGGATCATACCCCCAATGCATAGTTCCAACTATATGTCAAACATGGACGGCAGACGCGAGAACTTGAAGAAAAATGAAGAGATATAGTAACATAGGGAGCTACGGTGTGAAACTGCACTGAGTCGGTTTTGCTACTAGTGAATACACGCATTTAAATTTACGTTCGGAGCTAACATTTCGAAAGTTTGAAGATGATGTGCTAATTTCTTGCAGTCTTTCTATTTCATCTTTAGAAACTTGAACTTTGATTGCAGGTGGCAGAGAGGGCTCTGTTCTTGTGGAACAATGATCATATTGTGAACCTAATAAAACAGAACCGGAACATTATACTTCCCATTATCTTCCCTTCCTTGGAAAAGAATGCTAGAAACCACTGGAATCAGGCAGTGCTGAGCTTGACGCTAAACGTCCGCAAGATTTTCTCCGACACCGACACTGAGCTCTTTGAGGAGTGCTTGCGTAAGTTTGAAGAAGACAGAGCACGAGAAAACGAGGTTAAATGGAGACGCGAAGCCACATGGAAACGATTAGAAGAGATTGCTGCAATGAAAGCTGCAAGTAATGAACCCGTGCTTGTCTCGCCGGACGCGATTGCTCGCAAGCCATCTTGCTAGGACAGAAAAAGATCGCCATTTCAGCGGCCTAGATCGGTATGCAAACCGTGGGTCGGTGACTGGGGACGATGAAGCTGAGTTATCCATCATACCAAGTGTTCCACCACCTGAAAAAATAGGGTTGCTTGGATTTCGACGGATTCATCAAGATTGACGCTTTTTATGTTGGGAGTAAATCTAAAGCACCACTTTCTCATATATGCATAAAATTTGTAGACAATGAAAACAAATGAGCTTGGTTTGTAAAGTAGATATCTTTCCCTTTCAAAATGGAATGTAAGATTATCAGTGGGAATAAAATATTACAGAGAATAAAATTACTAGGAATATTGTATTTTATATTTGGTTGGTTTAATATGAATGTAAGATTACCGTATTTGGTTAAAAGAATAAAAGATTATTGAGAATGTTGTATTTTGTGTTTGGTTGGTTTAGCAGTAAGGTAAGATTAACGTGTTTGGTTAAAAGAATAAAATATTATTGAAATGTATATTTGATCAAATTGTCTTTAATATATATTTATTTTTTTAATAAGTTGAATTCTATTATAATATTACTATAAGATATTTATATATTTTCTTTAAAAAATTTAAATTTATAAATTTTTTTACAAAATTAAAAATATAAAAAGATTTAATGAAATGGTAAACTTTTATTTTAACCCCTGAATTTCATATAAAATTTTAATTATAGTTTTTTTTGTAAATCTAAAATAGGTTTAGGATAAATTTGTAATTTAATCTTCGAAGAATTTTTATTATTCAATGATAGAAGAAGGATATTTTTGAAAAAAAATTAAGAGCATTTTAGTCCAAAACGTCGATAATCCAACAATACCTAAGAGAAGGGGTAATGACATTTCCAGTAATATACCAAAAAAAATCAATTATTGGTGATAAAACATTATTAGAAATGAGATTACATGCTAACAAAACGGAAAAATGTAGATTCTATTCCCGACGAAATCCCACATTCCCCTAACAAAACATGCTCTAAAAGTTTTCTCCACTTATTTGTATCAATTTGTGAGTAGGGGTAGAGATAGAGATGAGCAAAATATTCAAAATCGACAGCTTTTGACTCAACTAAAATTGTTTCTTTAAAAAATATTTTTTTTAAATTAATTTCGGATCCAGATTTAGAGAATACTTATTCAACATTGTAATGATGTAATACTAAATTTGAAATTGTCATATAATCCAAGAATAATGTTTGTTTTTGGGGACATGTCATTGATTCTTGAACTTGTCTTCAAGTTGTCTAGTAAAATAATTCTTATATTTATTTTTGTAATTAATATATTCATTAAGGTTTTCAGATATCAAAGCTTGGATCATAAACAAATTGAAAAATAAGCAGAAAAAACAAATTCTAAAATGGTGGAGGAATCAGCATGACTTCACTTCCCTCCCGGTCGTGTTTTTGAAATTCCAAATTTAATACACAATTTACAAACAAATTACAGAAATCAATGTCTCTCCAACTGCTGTACCCTCCAATTCTAAGGCCTATGATGTCATTAAAGTACAATTAATTATTTAAATTTTCATATGATTTCACTAAAATAATCATAGATCATAACAGCTGAGTAAAGTTGCTGCTTAATTGCATGTAAGGTGTTACTGTTAACCCCTTTTCTTCAAAGTTTCTTCCTTTTTCTCTGCTTTGATTTGCACTGAAAACCCAAAGCAACGATTAAACCATTTGAATAACCGAACAATTCCCAGATTTTAAAAATCCTAATCACCCAATTTCCTATGCGAAGTTCCTCTCCTTAATTTGTCATTTCAAGTTTCATTCTTTACATCTCCAAAAAAAAAAAAAGCCATGGATTTACCTCCACAGCTCAGAGGCTTTTAGAAAAGGAGTTTGTTTTAAGCTTTATTTCCGGTTTCAAGTGCAACCCAGAATTCTTTATTCATCGAGGAAGTATATATTTAAGGGGGGAAATGCCAAGCATAGCCGTAAAATTATACAGTGTATTCTTCAAGTTCCTCTTGAAGCATCGTTTGCAGAATCGGATCCAAAACCATGTCGACGAATCAACCAATCCGTACGGTGTCACGACCCGACCCGAAGAATCCGTTTCCGCCGCCAACCCTTCTTTCACTGACGGTATAGCCACTAAAGATATCCACATCGACCCTACTGCCACAGCCCTTTCGATTCGGATCTTCCTCCCTGAATCGTCACTTTCCCCTCCCGAGCAACCCGAACCGAAATCCAAGCCCAGATCATCCCAACGGGATGACCGGAGGAATAGTTATCCTTATATCGGTGCCCCGACTAATGATCCGAGAAGGTGCAGTTTTGAAGGGTTGAATTTTAGATCCGACAGTAATGTCTATCAAGGGTATTCGCCATCACCTCAAAAGGGTCGACGATTGCCGATAATATTACAGTTTCACGGTGGTGGTTGGGTGAGTGGGAGCAATGAATCAGTTGCCAACGATGTCTTCTGTCGGAGGATAGCAAAATTGTGTGATGTTATAGTTGTGGCGGTCGGTTATAGGTTGGCGCCGGAGAATAAGTATCCGGCGGCTTTCGAGGATGGATTGAAGGTGTTGCATTGGTTAGCAAAGCAAGCGAATTTAGCCGAGTGTAGTAAGTCTATGGGGAGTGGGGCACTTGGGGTTGGAGCAGAGTTTACTAAGGCTCAAGTTCAAAGGCATATTCTGGATGCTTTTGGGGCGTCCATGGTTGAGCCATGGTTGGCTGCTCATGGAGATCCATCAAGGTTTTTATTCCAATTTTTTTGCTCATATAAAGTTTTTTTATCTTGATTCTCATTGTTTTCCTTAATGAATTCGGTACCCGTATCCGACACTTATCTCGTGAGTTTGTGGAACATAGGTTTAGTGTACTTTGTGCTTGGCATGAAGGGGATGCTGTGATTGTTGTTTTTGTTAGATTTGCTGTGTTTATTCATCAATTTGGTTATGGATAGGTGTTGAAAAATGCAATCTGATCACAGAAGTTTGACTCTATAAGTTTAAATTGCGTTATTATCGATAGATGAAGTGTTGGTAAAGTTTATCCTAATTGGTTTTATAGTTACAAATTACGATGATATTGGTGTAGTTTCAATATGCATTTCTTGATTAGGGAGATGTGATTTGTTGTAGGCTTGAATTTGTATTGGTTAGATATGTGTAGGTTAAATGCTTAATTGTAAATGAGGTTCGATTGTTAAACTTTCGAAAGTAATTTACTTTGGATAACTTGTGATTAGGCTGTTGAAGCTCATGTTAATTCTACAACTAGTTGATAAGTCTTTGATATCTAGAAGTCTGTCGAATCTGATTGCTCTTTCCGGGCGGTTTAGTGGCTTCGGAAGTTGTTTGTCTGTGTAACCATGCAATATAAAATTTTATTGCTATTCTGCCTAATCTTTATTTGTGATATTGTTGAAGCAGATGTGTTCTACTTGGAGTAAGTTGTGGAGCAAACATTGCGGATTATGTGGCGCGCAAAGCTGTCGAGGCTGGACGGCTTCTGGATCCTGTCAAGGTTGTAGCACAGGTCCTAATGTACCCGTTCTTCATCGGAAGTGTTCCCACACGGTCTGAAATAAATTTGGCAAACTCATACTTCTATGACAAGGCAATGTGCTTACTTGCATGGAAACTCTTTCTTCCCGAGGAAGAGTTCAGCCTCGACCACCCAGCTGCCAATCCACTCATCCCTCACAGGACCCCCCCTTTGAAGCTCATGCCCCCAACGCTGACAGTCGTAGCAGAGCTTGACTGGATGAGAGACCGAGCTATTGCTTACTCGGAGACACTACGGAAGGTAAATGTCGATGCACCTGTTCTTGAGTACAAGGATGCGGTTCACGAATTTGCAACACTAGACATGCTTCTAAACACCCCTCAGGCTCAGGCCTGTGCCGAGGATATCACCATCTGGATTAAGAAGTACATCTCATTGCGAGGTCACGAGTTCTCGTATTAAGTGAGGTTTTAAATGTAGAGAGAGAGAGAGAGAGAGAGAGAGAGAGAGAGAGAAAATTGCGGCAAAGCATCACTTCCGTTTTCGGTCGAAAAAAGAGAGTGCTGCAAATTTGCCATACACAGGATGGGGATAACGTATTGCATTTGTTCTTTCTTATTATCCCATATCCTGTTTTGTTCTTTTTGTAAGATAAACCGATAATAGATTAGTGAGCTGGAATTAGAGTGCACTATTTCTCATGCATAGTTTTATCCGACGGACCACTTGGTTACCGGATTTCGGTTGAGCGTCCGACAATGAGATTTTAAGAAAAACGAAGAGTTCGGGTAACATGGACCACCCAGACCGCCTTTGTGTTTGCCATATATGTTTTACAAAAGCTGGTTAGTGTAGAGTTCGAAGTTCCTTGTTTTAGAAGGAACTTTGGCAATGGCAGATTTCTTATCGTATTCGAAACATGTTGAAATAGCTCTCTCATTAACAACTTGACCTGAATGGCGGTTTAAAGCCGAGACTTGGGATGCTTTTATTCTACTCAAGATTTGATGGGAACACTTTATACTCTACTTTAGCACTGCTTGACAGTCTATTTATACCATCTGAAAGCAACAGAAATTCATAAAATTTCATAATGCAAAAGCCATACTCAATTAGTCCAATAATCATTTTCATGGATGGAACCTTAAAGATCAAGAAAGAGCTATAAAGTTTGATTATTGTGAATTGCACCAATAATGGCTCTGCTATTAGTGTTATACAGGCCGGCTGGTCTCGAATCTGCTTTTTGCCACCTTAAAGCTAATGCAGCAGCAGCATCTTGCCTCAGTGCCGGCTCCTCCTCATGCTTGAATCATATTAGTTTTCCTAAACAAATTTGAGCACCTCACATACCATTATATATATTTTTTAAAAATTTTGGATAAACTACAAGTTTAGTTCCTAAACTATTACTTTTATTTGTTTTGGAACCCAAACTTTTTTTTTAAATCATACCTGACGTCTAACTTAGGTTCATTTTGGTACCCCACAGTTAATTTTTTAACGGTGATGTTGACATGTCACCTTAAGAAAATATCATATCATCGTTGAAAAAATAAAAAAATATCACGTCAATAGTTCTATTATTTTTTAACGGCGATGTACCAAATTGAAACCTAAAATAAATGTTATGTATGATTTTGGAAAAAAATAAAGTTTAGGTACCAAAACCACTGCAAATGCTATTTGAGAGTTCATTATCAAAAGATTAAAAGTTTTTAAAATAGATACTACCACTTATAATCACCTAAATTAATAAAAAAAATTATAAAATAAACAAATATCAATTCAATTAAAAGCAATTAAATTGTCATTATCTCAA